GACGAAGTGGTAGATCTAGACAGCTGGCAAGTGCTAACCAGTCGAAAGCCGACAGCAAAGAAGAGTGTCCTTTTCGTGGGGAACCTGAAGCCTGACACTTCTGACACTAAACTGACCCAGTTTGTTATAAACAGGGCAAGAAGAGCGGATGTGGACCTGGAAGTCTTTGCCTGAAAGACCTTCCCTAAAGATGGTCGTGTCTCTGCTAGGATTGTGATCGGTAAAAGCAGCGTCGAGCTAGTAAATAACCGGGCATTCTGGCCCCAACCAGTGTATTCCCGCTTGTGGAACTTTGACAAGTATGCCACTGACTCCTCCAACAACACGACCACTGAGCAGGACGACAGTGATTCCCACGCCACCCTACCCTCTCAGACAGCACAGCACTCGCCAGAGCAACAGGCCAAGGGACCAAGTATGCCGACAATATTTGAATGACAGAGACACGACCACTCCGCCTAATGCTCACAAATGCCTTTTTTTTTTTTTTAATTTCGGCCAGTCGGCTACTATCATTTTCGTCTTGGGGGCTAGACAAGGGGAAGTAGCCATGTCGGGGCGTGAGCCCGCCTTTCGGCACCGGGAGTTGCAGCTCGCTCGACTTGACTCTACTGAGTCCAGAGGACCTACACCTTGCCTTTGGCATACTGAACAAGATTGGCGAGCTCCAGCACGTCCTCATGCACCATAATGTTGACCTAGCAATTGTCACAGAGATCAAACTGACTCCGGAGAAAGCCACGCCAGTGGAAACATCCATACCTGGCTACCACCCTGCTATACGGCGCGACAGAACAGCACATGGTGGTGGGGTTGCAATTTGGGTGAAGGCTGGCCTACCATATAGACAGCTCAACATCGACTGTGCCGACCAGGAAATGCTCTGGATTGGCATAACTGGACCACAGGGCACAAAGGTTGGTGTATGTGCTGTATATCGCCCAGGCTCCTGTGCAGACAATGACATACGGCTGTTCTCCCATCTCGATGCTGGGATCGATGCTGCACGACGCTCCTGCTCTCGCGTCATTGTAGCTGGTGATTTTAATGTACACAATACAAATTGGCTCGGCAGTCGGCGCACCACACTGGCGGGAGAAACAGCCGAAGATTTATGCTACCAACACAGCCTCACTCAACACATCCACGAAGCTACTCGTGGGCGAAATACCCTCGACCTCGTCATGTCAGACGTACCTGGTAATATCATCAGTACACTGTACCAACCCCTGGGACAGTCGGACCATGCTGTAGTGATCACGGACTTCGAGCTGACACCACACCGGGACAGACCAACTGCGCGTACAGTATGGCGATATCAGCATGCCGACTGGGATCGTCTGAGAGCCTTCTACCGTGACACCGGGACTGAGATCATCACTGATGAGCCTGATACATCATGCAATCTTGTAACCCAGAGGATCATCAAAGGTATGACCAGATTCATCCCATCGAAAGTTCTCAAGACGAAGCCCACTGATCCCGTCTGGTGGACCCCGAGTGCTCTGCTGCTGTCGCTGCCAAACGCCATGCATGGTGATCACTTCGTCGCAGCCAGGCCAACCCGGCACTACAGGAGCAATATTGCCTTGCCCGCGTGACCTCATCGACTTGCCTTTCTAGAGCCAAAGAACATCACCTCCAGAGAATACGCAATAAACTGCTCTCGGGAAACATCCAGAACAAGGAGTGGTGGTCCGTGGTTAAGGGTGCAGGTGGAAGTGGTCGCGACAGCACTATGCCTGTTCTTATTGACTCTGATGGACAGGAGTACACACAGAATCGCGACAAAGCCGAGATTATTGGAAGCTACTTTGCTGAAAAATGCAGTCTAGAGACTGACTTCAGTGATGTTGCTACCGCCTTTCCCGATGTCAAACAGCGTTCTCTACACAGAATAACAACAGTGCACTTTCGCCAATCTACTGTGGGGCGTGTGCTTAAAGCCATCAACCCGTCAAAAGCAACTGGCCCTGACTCTGTCCCCTCTCGGGTGCTTAAGATGTGTGCAGATTCTCTTGCACGTCCGCTCGCTCATCTGTTCTCTCTCTGCTTCCGACAAGGCCACCAGCCATCTGCCTGGAAGGTGGCAAACGTTGTCCCGGTCCACAAGAAGGGCTCAAGATCTTGTGTGAAAAATTACCGTCCAATATCCCTTCTCTCCATTATCTCCAAATGTATGGAAACCATAATCAACCGGAGCATCACAAACTTTCTCGACAGCAACTCTATTCTCTCTGCTCGCCAATTTGGCTTCCGCTCTGGACTTGGCGCAACCGACCTCCTCCTAGCTCTTCAACACGAATGGAGCCGAGTTGCCAACAGTGGAGGACTTGTGCGCGTCCTGGCAGTGGATATTGCTGGGGCGTTCGACAAAGTGTCGCACCCGGTTGTCCTGTATAAAGCTCAGCGGTATGGGCTCCAGGGACATCTTCTCGCCTGGCTCAGAAGCTACCTCACCAACCGCATGCTCCAGGCTGTAGTGAGCGGACAGTCCTCCTCTGCTTACCCCAATCATGTCACGCGTCCCCCAGGGTAGCATCTTGGGCCCGACTTTATTCCTTCTCTATACGAATGATGCTGAGGATCATCTACCTGCTGGGGCCCAGCTTGCTGCATATGCTGATGACACCACGTTGTACAAGTGCATATCGACCAATACTGCCGTACCCGAAGATGTTACCACACTCCAGCTTGCTGTAAGTGCGCTGGCAGACTGAGGACTGGCCTGGCACATTAGGTTTGAACCTACAAAGTCTCAGTCTCTCCTGATTTCTCACCATCGCAACACAGTCGTCGTCCCACCGATTGTATTCCAGGGCACAGTTGTTCCGGAAGTCGACCAGCTGAAGCTGCTGGGTGTGCTGTTTGACCAACACCTGTCCTTCACAGCTCATATCAGGCAATTGGCTATTCGAGGCTCGCAGCGTCTCGGCTTCCTCCGGAAAGCCTCGCGAGTGCTGGACTCCAGGTGCCGTGGAGTGATCTACAAGGGCTTTGTCCGCCCTGTTTTGGAGTACGGCATGCTCGTGTGGATGAGCGCTGCACCCACCACTCTGGCTCGCCTCACTGCCATCCAACGCCGTGGCCTTCACTTAATCGGTGATGGAGCCTACCTCCCCAGCTTGGACATCCGCAGAATGGTCGGAGCACTCTGCTTTCTGTACAAGCTCCACTTTTCAACTGGCCCAGACATGCTTCTCACCCTTCTTCCACCCCGAGCGACCAACACATCACGCCATAGCCGACGCACACAAAAGCATCCCTCACGCCAGTTTCAGCTCACTTCCACTCTTCCGCCCAGAGCACGGAATGATGTCCTTCGGTCCTTCCCTGATGCTGTTGTGGAGGTCTGGAACCAGCTCCCGCAGTGCGTTCTGCTGAACCAGCCAACAAGGAAAGGACTGCAGACGTTCAAAGAAAAAGTCAACGCCCACCTGCGCCTTACCCGCTGGGAGTGGGCAACGGACAGGCTATGGATCAAAGAAGAAAGACGAAAAAAGCTCTAACTCTGTTCCCTCCTCCATTCACTTCGTTGACTCTCTGATAACTTTTTATTGTGCATACTTTCCCCCGTAATCCCCAGTTATCTACCCCCCCCCCTGCGTATTTTCTGTAATCTTTTGTTTTTGTGGAGCGCTTGGGTTGCAATGAAGCCGAGACCCTGCCTCTCCCCCACTCCTGCCATTCAATTGTCTCTTCGCTGCCTTGCTGCTTCGTGCCATCAGATGGTGTGTGGTTTTTTGTAAAGAAAAAAAAACAAAACAAAAAACAACAACAACCACGACGACGACGACGACGACGACGGCGGCGGCGGCGACGGCGGCGGCGGCGGCGGCGGCGGCGACGACGACGACGACGACGACGACGGCGACGGCGACGACGACGGCGACGACGACGACGACGACGACGACGACGACAACAACAACAACTACTTCTCTTATATATTGGCCACAGGCCATCGTGAGAATAAAAAAATAAAATAATTTTTTTTTTCAAACTACAACAACATCAACGTCCATCAACACCCAGACCACGACACCAACGTGCAGACGGGGTGTTCCGACGTGGTGAAGGCCTAGCCTACCCATAGGCATAGCCTCGTCGGAACATCACCAACCTCGCCGGCAGCGAGCACCTTCTCACAACAGTTGTCATGGTGATGACTATGACTGTTACAGATGACGAGCTGAGAGAAGGACGCCATGGGCGGAAGTTGAAAAAAAAACAAAAAAGAAAAGAACAAAAGAAAAAAGAAAGATAAAATGACAAATCACAGAGAAAGACAAGAAAATAACAACATCACAATCACAAATCCTTTCCATGATCCAGACGTGATCCCTACACAGCTTCCAAACTCTCTCTTGTGTAATAATAATAATAAGGCCAAACTAAAGAAGGTGTGTGGTTCGACTAACATGGACATTTTTTTTACGGGCGGGCGGGCGGATTTTTTTTTTTAAATATATTTTTTAGTACATGTAAATACACTGTATACGCGTATCGAGTAGACTCTACCAGGGAGTCGTAAAATACCGACTCCCTGGACTCTACTACCAGCACAAGGCAGCAGTCGTACCACTCACTGCACTGCACTGCAGTACAACTACAAGTCAAGTCCAAAAGGAGCCGCCTAGCCTGCGTCCGCAGACTCACGCCGCACAGCACGTAGACGTGGACGTGTTCAGTCCACGTACGTCAGTCACACGACAGCCCGCCGAAAAAAAGTTACGGTCGGGCTGAAATTGTACGGTCGGTCGGGTGAGTCGAACCACACACCTTCTTTAGTTTGGCCTAATCAGGGCTTTTACGACTCCCTGATAATAATAATAATATCAAGATCGGCCCATATATGGCCATATCGGGGCACCACGGCCGGCCGTGGCCGGCCACGGTACGCGGTCCAAGCAAACACAGATCCCACAAAACTGCATGCAAGATCAGCCGGATATCCGCGGAGCCAGCAAAATAGTGTAGATGTGGATGGAGACCAGCCCTTTTTCGTCCAACAGCAACAGTCAGCAGCCCTGTTCATAATGATTCTGGTTATGAAGTAGTTGTTGTGCAGCGCTCTGGCTAGCCTTGCCCCATGCAGTGGTAGTATGACTCTAGCATGAGGAACTAGCTTCCATAGTTCTTGTCGTACCTAACTTTGCTCAGCCTCGGAGTTCGCTGTGCACATGTTGACAACCAAGTGGGAGATTTCCGAGGATCGAGATCAAGATTCGAAGAAATGGTGGTCGAGTGTAAACGATTACCTGTATTCCCGAAATTGGGAATATGACACCTCCATATAAATAATACTACTGAGTATAGTAGAATCGGAGATTGCGCTATAGGATCTTGTACTACTCCTGGCTACGGGTAGTGAGTATCCTGTGCTTACGGGAAAATCAGTTGCAGTTGCCAGTGAGTGCCGCGGAAGGATGGTAAATGAGGGAAACTCTATCAGCTCTATCGGCACTGGTACAGTATCCGTTCGACGGTCGAAATCAGCCAGTGTATACTCAAGTGGTGGTTCCAGCTTCCAGTCCAGTAATCCGGGCAGCCACGGCCACCACAAACGAACCTCCTCCATCCGTTCCAACAGCTTACACTCTATCCTGGTTCAAGCTCCTAAGAGGTAAAGGTTGCTTTGTGAATCTGTCGTCTGTATCTCGTATGTTGACAATCCCCTCTCCATTTTCGAAATACGCTTCGGCATACCCACAGAAGCTTGCACCGATCAAACACTGTATGCACGTTCATCGCACTTTCAGCGTAGATGCAGGATTGTACAATGTACATGACTGGACTTCTTCGCGTTGTTGCGCTGTGTTCCAGTATTTTCAAAAGCCTTCATTGACTTTTGTGAAATGGCTGAGTCGACTCCAAAGCAGGATGCAGCATAATTGCTCGAAGTGAGCTGTGCCATGACTCGTGGTGACAATTCCTAACTTCACATGCAATACACCAGGCTAGGCTGGGTACATGGTGTGGAGGTTTAACGCATGCCCATACTGGTGTATGAGAAGCCCTGCAGGTGCACAATGCACATGCTGCCCCAACCATGTATAGTCCATAGCCACTCCAGAGCCAGACCATGCAAACACAAAAAGGAATGATAGGACGCGTGTATCGCTTAACATCACTACAGTAACAGTGGACGCCGAAGAACAACGTACGGACCAGAAAGCCACCACTGTTTAGAAGCGTGCCGGGCGGGAAGCAAAGACTCGGGAACACCAGTGTGTGTGTGTGCGTGTGTGTGTGTGTGTGTGTGTGTGTGTGTGTGTGTGTGTGTGTGTGTGTGTGTGTGTGTGTGTGTGTGTAGGTTCCTGTACCGTGTGAATGTACAAGCACAGAATATGAACAAAGATGTGCGAGTCTCTAAACTAAGAACATGCTATACTAGCCTGCAACGGAGAGCCGAACGGTTGGGGAAACATGTGATTTCTACCCGACTACTCGCTCACATGTCTTCCTTTTTAAACCGTAGATTCTACCTTCCTTTATCGGTTCTACCAGATTTAAGGCTGATCGAAGTTGGTAGAGGTACGATGTTTCATGCATGAGAGGTGCTTTTCCTCAACGTATCGCGCATCGTACTGTAAATGTTGCAAAGATGGGTGATGTGAGTATGATCAGGCCGTTGCATCAATGATCTACCAAGGTGGCTGGATCTGTGTTCGTGAACTTCAATCAGTACTGGCTTTTCAAAAAAAGATCCGTTCTACCCGTGCTACTCTACCAAGTAGACAAAACAAACGCCGCAGCCTTAGCTGATATATCCCCACGGCTCACAGCCGGTCACTCTATAGCCGATACAGACTGTGTTCTAAAATTTGGAGTTCGTCCCAGAAGACCGCATGTTTGGATGGAGACGCACCGCTAAAGACAACACACAGAAAGTTTCATTGAAATACTAGAGAGGTTCTGGACAACGAAAATTCGAACGAAGTTTCGCGACAGGCCTTGCGAAAGTGTGTACGGATTTTCGCACAAACTTTGTGTTCTGCATATTTCGCAGTTTGCACGCGCCAAGTGCACGTACACCATGACCCGATCTCACGAAACTTCCTGCGAAAGTTCATTTTGCGTTCCCTGCAAGTTTCGCGTCCAAAGTTGCGAAAGTTCGTGCGAAGTTTCTCACTCCGTGACGTAGAGCGAAAGTTCGTACACATTTTCGTTTTGCAGAAACTCTCTATTGTGACCTGCGCTATGTAGCCCCAAAGTCTGCATGTGATCGCTTAGGCCGTTTATTCAACTCCATGCAGAGCGAAAGTACATGGGTTTTTCTGACCTCATGGATGACCTCATTGATGTCGCAAAGAAAATTTCTGCCCTGGGCAACAGAATTATCAAGTTGCATCCTCTTATTTATATATTCTTTAAACCACAAATACTCCGCACACAGGACTGACATTGTATGGTCAGCACGGATATACTTCGACCTCGGTTATAAGTCGACCCCATACTTGGGGTCTCGGTTTCCCTGTTAAAAATGGTGATTAAAGGGGAAGTCAAGCCTAAAATCAAATTTTCACCAGTTGTAGTCTTCGGGGTGCTGAGTCGAATGGTCTTGGTCCGAGGAAGCTTAGACGCTCCCTTCTTCCTTTATTCCAGGGCATATGATCAGAAATTCGAAGTGCTCGGACGGCATGTCCTTTCATTTCCATTTTTGGCTGGACATGTCCGGATATATCTTGCTGCTTTTCACTTGCTCCTCGAATTTGATGCACACCGCGCATTTCAGATTTTCCACCAATTGCCAGTCGTCTTTCGGTCGCTCATACCTCAGCCAAACGGAGGTACTCAGTTCCTTGTCACTATCGGAAACCCACTTGTCACACGTAGACGTTTTCACTGCGCATGCTACTTTCTTCGCCGGAGCAGAGCTCTCACTGTCACCCTTCCTCTTTCCACACATTTTGACAACGGCTCTCTCGTTCACCACTCGCAAAAGTACTGTAGTCTCAGTACACTTACAGATCTACGTGTGCTCGACACCAACCGACAAGTGCAAGTGCTCTTCAACCAGCCTGCATGCGTGGCCTGATATCCGGCTTGGTGCATGACACCCACGCCGGCCCAAGCCAACCCTAACCCTGGTAACCCTGGTAACCCTGGTCACGGACTCACCGTACTACGGGCGTACTAGTTAGTAGTACAATGTACTACAGGTACGCGCCGCGCACTTGAAAACAAGCACACATCGCGAGCAAGCACACATCGCGAGCAAGCACACATCGCGAGCAAGCACACATCGCGAGCATGCACACAAATCACTGTACTTTTGAAGTAGTTTGATTTTTTCAAAAGCACCCGGTCAAAGTGTCCGGACCCAGTGTTTTCGGTCGGATTTCCTCCGAAAACGTCCGGAAAATGTCCGATGTCCGGACGTTATCATGCCCACTGTATTCCCAATGGAACTCGCGCACTTCCACCGAAACTGGGTGACTGCACCCTGTTAGATGGGGATTTGTACCGTATTTCCGCGCATATAAAGCCATGGCGTTATAGGTGAAACATCGCTGTTCTGGACCAAATTTTTGGAGAAAATAGCCTCAGTTTTAACGCCATGGCGCTATAAGTGAGAGACGCGTACATGCAAAAAATGGGCAGAGTATGAACTTCGAGTACTCGTACGGTGCCGTTGCACGTTCATGTCGAGCACCCATGTACTTTCAATTTTCCCTGAAAATTTCAAATTGTGAACCTATTGTGTACAAGGTGGCATACAAACTTGTGTGAAGGTGCGGTGGCGGTATGGCATGTTACGGTGGGGATGGGTACATGCAGAGAGAATCACCGCTACTGTAGGTTCACTGAAAGAATTGAACTCACCTTTAACGCCAGATGCAACTTCCTCCACATTGAATTTTGTTCACTTATAACGCCATGGCTTTATAAGTGAGGGTGGCCTTATATTCGGATATAACGCCATGGCTTTATATGCGCGGAAATACGGTATGCAAAATGTCACTAAAAGTGCCATTTCGTTCTTATAAAAGCCCGGAGGGCCGCGATTGGCCCATAATGTTGACTGGTTTTGGTCCGAAAATGCTGCGATGCAGCGTTCCTCCTTTATTCCAAATCGAACATGGTTGAACAAGTGGTCACGTGCTCCTGCGTGCCCAAGTCACCTGGTCACCGCGCCAGCAGGCGACAACTTTCACACCAAGGTTCAACTCGAGTTCAACTCGAGTGATAGGACTGTACCCAAAAAAGGTCAAACACGCTGTAAGTTGTACCCTGCAGGCATGGTGACCAGGTGACTGGTGTACGCAGGAGCACGTGAACCTTTGTTCAACCATGTTCGATTGGGAATAAAGGAGGAACGCTGCATCGCAGCCTTTTCGGACCAAAACCAGTCGACTCAGCGTCCAAAAGAGTACAACATATGGGCCAATCGCGGTCATCCGTGCTTTTATAAGAACGAAATGATGCTTCTAGTGACATTTTGCATACAAATCCCCACCTAGTAGGGCGCAATAATAATAATAATAATAACTTTATTAGGATGACAATCACCCAGTTTCAGAGGAAGTGCGCGAGTTCGATTGGGAATATAGGAGGAAGGGAGCGTCTCAGCTTCCTCGGACCAAGACCATTCGACTCAGCACCCCGAAGACTACAACTGGTGAAAATTTGATTTTAGGCTTGACTTCCCCTTTAAACCCCAGCTGTCAGTCGGTCACCCTGTTTGAATCGTATCTCAACTGTTACTTTGTGACTGCTGATAAGCGCTTTTATATTTTCATTCCCATACTGTACCCCTTGTATATTTCAGTTTTAGGTCATAAAGGGCGACTTATAACCGGTAAAAGATGGTACATGAAAGAAACTCTGTACTTAGATTGAATACCTGCTATACGATTTACACCATGATTCTGTCCTCTTGTTCAGCAGATCCGACAGCAAGCAGCACATCAGCAAAAAGGCGTTTGTGTGGAGGCTGAGACACAGCTTCCGGCGTGGCAGCAGTGGCGGTGTTGGTGGTGGTGGTGGTACCATGCTCGAGGACAGCGAAGATGCTTGTGCTGGGTAAGTCCCGTTTCAGCGTACCAACTCCGAACGGCTTGCGTTGAGGCAGTAACTGGGAGAACCGCACTCGTTGGTTGCATGCTGCTCTGCTACATATGCAGCGCTGCTCAATGAAATCCGGTCGTGAGAGTCAGCTAGCACCAGTTGTGTAGCTCCAAGCCTGTGAACACTAAGGCTTATGTTCTTGTGGTAGAATCCAGATCCAGATCGATTGGATAGATCCCATGGATCAATCAAAGTCCAGGTCACACTGTCCAGGTTCGAACATGTGATTTTTTTACTGATTCTGAGAGTTTCAAGAAGAGAAAGTCAAAGCAGTGATTTCCACAATATTGCTCCTTATCCTTGAAAATTTACTGGATATGGATTTGTTGGAGTAAATGCGAATGCGTTGAGCCCCAGAACCGACCAATCGGACATGCATTGCTGATTGGTCAGATCTGATCTCATTGCACACTGCTGTACATCTACAGGAAAACCTGTCGAGGCAGTGACCACTCGGATAAGGCAACCACCTGTCCTAGAAGACTGCTGCAAACAGGACCAACGGATGCTATTTCCAGTCAAATGACCCTGGATAAGGCGACCACCTGGTTACAGAGACCACATTTTGAATGTCCCTTGAGCGGTCGTCTTAGATAGGTTTCCCTGTAGCTATGAGCAAGAATGTAGAAGCCAATATGTACCGGTACGTGTTCCTCTTTCCAGACCTTACCTACGGCTTGCGAGGCACTAGTATCGCAGGAGCCTGCTCCCAAGCGTGGCATGTGTGTGTTTTCTATTGTGTTGTGCAGACCGAGCAAAGGGGTGTGTGTTGTGCTATTGTGTTGTGCAGACCGAGCAAGGGGGTGGGTGTGTGTGTGTTTCTATTGTGTTGTGCAGACCGAGCAAGGGGGTGTGTGTTTTCTATTGTGTTGTGCAGACCGAGCAAGGGCGTGAACGCCAGCAGCAGCAACAGCAGCGCGGACCGAGGTGGCTACAGAAAGGGCAGTGCGGACACCAGCGATGACGGCGGTGCTGGCAGCGGTCATCGACAACGGCCAGCAGCAGCAACAGCGTCGCGGCGCAAAGTCAAAATGGCGCACACCTCTCTCAGCGCTGACTCTGCTGACGGAGGCAAGCCGGCCGGAAAGTAAGCCGAAAGTCACACTACATGCAAAAAATGTGGCCAGAGTCTGCGCTCTACAGGCAGGCTAAAGGCATAGTAAAAGTATCATGCATGCATTTCCAAGCATGACACATGCGCTATTACTTCAGCAGTCAAGACCGGTTATAATGGTTGAATGGTGTAGCACATTGTTTGTGCCATGCATGATTTTTTTCTAAGGGCGTGAAGACTCCACTGTATCCAATTCGTTTTGCTTGCGCCATCTCATGCACCACCACCCAAAGCTGTCTCTCGGGAACAATTCATGTCTATCAGTAACGGGATAAGTCTACACCAACGTTAGAATACCTCTGTACTTATTATCTAAGCAGTTGTTTCCGCAGGAAGCTACTTGGTGCGTAATCTAAGGGCATGTTCGTTTGGTAGGATCGGGATCCCGATCCACCGGATCCACTGGATTCGCACCCTTTCGATTGGTCGAATCTGGATCCCGATCCTTCGGATTTGGATCCGGTCAACCCACCTCGGGGAGCAGGGTTGACCGGATCCAAATGTGACCATTGTGCGTATATGGCGGGTAAAGATCATTTTTGTAAACATTGTGATACGCACACGTGGATGGAGCTTGAGCTTGTTGACTTTTTGTACGACGGAGGCGATTAGTACGACGTTCACCCTTTTTGGTGATTTGTGAGCGCCATTGTCAACATGGCAACAGTCAAGGTCCAAAATAAAGTGTTCAGTTGAATCTGAAGGATCCGATGGATCTGAGATCTGGATCCTGATCCCGATCCTTACCAATCGAACATGCCCTAAGCCAGGGATGAATTTATTGTCATATTTTTGCATTGCAGTTTCTGCTATACAAAATCACAATTGTGCAGCAGTCTTTGATTTTGATTAGCATTTTTCTTTGAAGGTTGGGTGTTTACCACATTGTCCTTCTTGAGAGTGATGCCTGAAAGCCCATTTGCAAAAAAACCGACTGAATCATACATGTGCACGCAGATTGAGAGTGCCTGCACCACATACACTGCACTGTATGCATGTTACTTGACAGCACAGGCTAGGCATGGATAGTCTGTATGTATCGCAGTTTTCTGCGAGTCACGGTGACTTTTGAGTAGCAGTAAGTTGATTTTGCATCGCAAACTGCGATGCGATACTGGATAAATTCATCCCTGTAAGCTATTCGACAAAAGTTGCTTCTCAAACTAGTTTCCATCCACTGATCTGTGCTGTCTGATGCAGGACCTTCAGCTTCACTGCGTGGGGAAGACGCTTGTCTACAAATCCATCCAAACGACTGTAAGCTTGCTGCATTGTCACCTACGTGTGCATGTGGCTGTGCGTGTATGAATGAGAGGTGTGTGTGTGGGGGGGGGGGGGGGGGAGAGAGGCACACATCTTCACGGTTGTTGTTGTTGTTGCTGTCATCGTTCCTTTCTACAGCTTCAAAGGCAATGTGGCCACATCCAAGAGTACTGGCAAGATCAAATCCATGATGAAGCGAAAAGCAGAGTAAGAACTTTGAAGACATCCACACTTGTTACTCTCCAGTATCATGACAGCCACATCTCTCTATCTGTCTCTCTGTCTGTCTCGGCGTGAGATCGGGTGCTGAAGAACACAGGAGCTCAGGGCGCAACCTGGCATTGTTCCAAAGTGTTGAAATGTTAGTCCTTTTGTCCTTATTCATGGAGAGCATCTTACGATGCGATCACAGCACATTGAAAACATGTAGAAAATGGTACATTGCGTCTTCTGGTACAGTTGAACATCGATTATCCGCACATCGATTATCCGTAACAGTTTTTTTGGGCGCACGTGCTGTAGAGTACGCACTGTGCATGTAGTGAGCCATTAAAAAAACACGAAAATTTTGAAAAGTAAAAAGGTCGTGCGGCTAGTAATAACCACTGAAAGTGTGTGAGTGACAGTTTTTTCTTATCCAGAACATTTGCCTTATCTGAACACCGCCTGACAGTTGTCTGCCCAGAGGCGGTCGGATAATCGATGTTCAACTGTAGTGACGGGAAAAGGTTAAAGGGGAAGTTAAGGCTAAAATCAAAATTTCACCAGTTGTAGTCTTCGGGGTGCTGAGTCGAATGGTCTTGGTCCGAGAAAGCTGAGACGCTCCCTTCCTACTTTAATCCCAATCGAACTCGCGCACTTCCACCGAAACTGGGTGACTGCGCCCTACTAGATGGGGATTTGTATGCAAAATGTCACTAAAAGCGCCATTTCGTTCTTATAAAAGCACGGATGACCGCGATTGGCCCATATGTTGTAGTCTTTTGGACGCTGAGTCGACTGGTTTTGGTCCGAGAAGGCTGCGATGCAGCGTTCGGCCCTTATTCCCAATCGAACATGGTTGAACAAGCGGTCACGTGCTCCTGCGTACACCAGTCACCTGGTCACCGTGCCTGCAGGGTACAACCTACTAGCGTGTTTGACCTTTTTTGGGTGCAGTCCTATCACTCGAGTTGAACCTTGGTGTGAAAGTTGTCGCCTGCTGGCGCGGTGACCAGGTGATTTGGGCACCCAGGAGCACGTGACCGCTTGTTCAACCATGTTCGATTGGGAATAAAGAAGGAACGCTGCATCGCAGCCTTTTCGGACCAAAACCAGTCGACTCAGCGTCCAAAAGACTACAACATATGGGCCAATCGCGGTCATCCGTGCTTTTATAAGAACGAAATGGCGCTTTTAGTGACATTTTGCATACAAATCCCCATCTAGTAGGGCGCAGTCACCCAGTTTCGGTGGAAGTGCGCGAGTTTGATTGGGATCAAAGTAGGAAGGGAGCGTCTCAGCTTCCCCGGACCACGACCATTCGACTCAGCACCCCGAAGACTACAAATGGTGAAATTTTGATTTTAGCATTAACCTCCCCTTTAAGTCTGTAAATCTAGACTGAATCGTTCCTAAATCTGGGCCATTTCCTGTCTCAGTGGTCTACGGCGCCCGATCTTACTGTATATTTCGAAAGGGGGAAATCAAAAATGAATAATTTCCGGCATTTTCAGGAGAACATTTTGGATACATTGACGTGTGCAAAGTTTACCCAGCACTGTGTGAACTGGGTCACGGTTTAACAAGTGACTTGTTGGTCACACGCCTGCGTGTGTTTGCATGTCGTGTCTGAATGGCCTACTAATTAACGTGGCATGTGTGCCAATCATGTTTTCTTGTCTATGTGTACAGCCGGACCAGCCGAAAAAAGCCGGCACGCAGCGATGACGATGCTGGTTGTCGTCCAGCAACTTTATCGCGGAGTGCATCAATCGCCCTGATATGCGACGAGGATGGGCTGGTAGTGGATGATCCCAGACTGCACAGTGATACGGAGACTGGCGATCATGGCTGGGGGGATTCCCTATCAAGTGTGAGTGCCACTGGCGGCATGCACTGTCTAGCAGCGCAGGCGCCAGCAGTGAGGTCAAGGAGCTACGGGGATGCTACTCGACCGCAGAAGGTTGCAGGGCAGTTGGCAGTGGATGACTGGGGCGGCTGGGGAAGCAGTGTAACTGACGAGGATAGCATTAGTGCTGGCAGGAGTTCGGTTGCAACTGGCATCCCAGGCAGCGATGACGCGGCAAGTGATCGACTCAGCACATTAACAAAAAGCATGAACATCGGGTCAGGTCGCAGAGCCAGTGAAGAGGACAATAAAAGGCGGCCACAGGCATTCGGAGTTCAAGTCTTGCCGAAGAAGTTTGTCCTGCGCCAAACCCAATCTTGTGATGATCTCTTGGGCGATTTGAGTAGACCGACGAAGAACCCGGGATCTGCTGCTGCTGCGTTCAGGAATAGCCGTGGTGCTTCTCTTGACTATGTCGACTCATCACCCGTGCATTCAAGGAGCAGTGTTTACAGCTACCGGTCTCCCAATCAGAATCGCGGCTGTTCTGTTCTGAGCGAGTCTGTAGATTGTGCCGAATCGACCAGCACTGCAAAGGCCACAAAGTCATCTGCATCGGACTCGGTGTCCACAGCAAAGAAGACCAAAGCTGATGCTGGCAGCTCTTCCCGGGGACAGGTGGTGGCCATTGGGCATTCAAAGCCAAAGGTAAAGACCCAGCAGAATGCGTTGTCCATGAATGAGGATGTTGTGTCTGACGATGACTTCCCGCTTCCCTCCAAGACTAAGGGCGGTGTTGTAGAGTGTGCCTGGGGAGATTCGGTCAGCATGGCGTCTGCAGAAGGCGATGACAATGGTGGTGTTGATGATGATGGGCATGTTGTACAGCAGCGACACCAGCCGCACAAGAAACCGGCGGCCCCAGCTGATTGGGACGGTTGGGGCGATGACAGTGATAATGAGTGCAATACCGCCGCAAGTAGGCCACCGCGTGATGACGATGACTTCCTGCCTGACTGCAGCCAGGCAGGCAGTTCGGAAGCCGTGAGCTGGACAATGGTGTCGAGTAATGGTGGCCTACATTCATCCCAAACATCCCCAAGACCGTCCACCGCATCGTCTGGCGAGAACAGCAAGAGCACCGCCACAGCACATACTCCGGTCACAAAGAAATCTAGTTATAGCGAGCCTGCAGCCACCACCGGTTCCAATGTTGAAAAACCTGGCAATGTGCAGACCAACAACAAAGTCAGGAAGACTCTATCAAACAGCCGACACCAGCAACGAGGACTGCAGCAACAGCAGAGTGAGGGACAAGAGCAGCAGCAGCAACAGCTGCTGCAGCAAGAAAAGGCGCAGCAGCTTAAACAACAGCAGCAGCAGAAACAACAACAGCAGCAGCAGCAGCAGCTTCAGAAACAACAGCAGCTGGAGAAAGAACAGAAACATCAACAGCAGCAGAAAGAACAGAAAGAACAACAGAAGCAACAACAGCAGCAGAAAGAACAACAACAGCAGCATCAACCCCCCTCGAAATCGTCTGCTGTACATGTCCAGAATGCTATTGGATCAAACTCAAAATCCAGTTCAGTTTCTGCGACTGCATCAAGCACTACCAAGAAAAACATTCTGAAGAACAAGAAGAAGCAGATACAAGTCCAGGAAGAGTTTGAGTCAGATGATGATGATATCCTGTGTGCTGGAGGTGCAGATGGCTGGGGTGCCATCTCTTGCGAGAATGCCGTTGATGATGTTTTCGGCACTGGCACCAATGACCCTTCTTCAGCTGCTACTACCGGTGCCAGCTTCTCCATGGCAGTATCCACTAGATCAGGGGCAGCAGCTAATGGTGGAGGTAAGCCAGAGTGGGATGGATGGGGATCGGAGGGTGAATCAGATGAAGACACCGCAGTGACTAGTGCCAATAAGAACCGTCCAAACAGCACTAGTGGAGGTATGTGGGGTGGTGGCCCAGGCATGATGACATTGTCTGCCAACGGTGTAGCTCCTAGTATATCTCTTAATTCTGTTACGCCATTCGGCAGTGGTGCTGGCAAAGTCATGCCATCTGTGTCAAGTCCATCCGTGTTTGATGAGCCAATGCAGGCATCGGCCAAGTCGAATAATTCCTCTCGTTTATTCTCCCGTCAGAAAAAATAGCCGGTGAAGTGAAGAGTATATGGTTGAGGTAACATGGCTAACAGTTCTAACAGTTCGCTATAGTATGTCAAGCACTGTTATTTGTTACAGCCCTCACCAGCCATTGCTTCCACGTGCACCGCAATGCATCAGCACTCTTGATCATGGAGAGAGAGAGATAAGTACAGTTGTGAGAGAGGAACCAGTGTTGCGCCATAGCGATACAGCTGCACGTGATCTCTGGACGTGTTCTTTGGTCAGACTCTGCTTGTGCCATGTTCCAATTTGGATGTGCACTTCACCGAGCTTCGCTTATGATCTATACCACAACCCCACCATGCAGTGCAGCTGGTGATGTCCTGGTGATGTCCTACTTGCCATGGGCGTATGCCGCACTCTGGACTATGTATGTGAGTATGTGGATCACATATGCGATACTCTGGATCACATATGCGTATGCGATACTCTGGATCACATATGCGTATGCGATACTCTGGATGACATATGCGTATGAGAGACTCTGGATCACATATGCGTATGCGGGACTCTGGATCACGTACGTGAGTGATTCACATATGTGAGACTCTGAATGACGTGCGTAAGCGTGTGAATCTCTCCACGCATGCTCCCGTCGCCTGTACATCGCTTCACACCTTACCACGTGCTAGTAAGGCAGCAGCGCTGCGTGATGACGAATCCCCCGCACAGGCACCTGCACTCGCACGTGCATGCCTGTGTGCATGCCGAGCGACGCCATGCCGATACACAGCCTGCTGCTCGTGTATCTTGCTAATTTGAAAAGAGCACACTTGCGGCCCAATGGCGGCTTTGTTTTTATACCCACCCAATTTGACCCAAACCTTCTTTTATAGTTTTAGGCACTCGGTGACTACTACCCAGTACTATGTGAGCATGCTCAGTACTCTCTTCTATTCCCCATTTTAGCAGCATATCCCCATCTTACCAATAACGCTGGAGGGTCTCCACTGACTGAGTACGGTGAGCTCTACTGGCCTAATAATGTCAAACTCGTCTCCAGAGATCTTAAATTTTGCTTTCTTTCTAACTAATTGTTCCTTATCCAGCGCTGCCTGCACTTGGACTAGTTGTGGCTTTAGATCTAGCTCACTTGTTCAACCCAGTCTGGTGCTACCTTGACCAAGTCCTCTAGTTTCTTGTCTACTTATTCATTTGCATCGTTTCACAGTTCCTGTCGCTAGCGTTACTGCTGCTGCTGCTGCTGCTTATTTTTCTTTTAGTGCTGGGCATTATTCGTCTGTTACTCTAGCCCTAGCGACATGCCTTTAGTCGACGGAGCCGGAGTTAGCTCCTGGTTGTAGTAATTGACCAGGGCGCTGCACATAATCATGATGACCGAGCTACATTGTAATGAGCACGGCCAGCAGTGAAGACAACGCGTCCCTGGCTAGTGTCCAGCACGTTGAAATCAACATGCTTACTGCTGCACACGTTTATCCTGGTGCACTCAGTGTCTTTTGGCCGAAGAAAAGTAGACATATTTGCACTTCACACATGCACCAAGTTGTTGCTTTGTCTCTCTCTCTCTCTCTCTCTCTCTCTCTCTCTCTCTCTCTCTCTCTCTCTCTCTCTCTCTCTCTCTCTCTCTCTCTCTCTCTCTCTCTCTCTCTCTCTCTCGCTCTCTCTCGCTCTCCCTCTTCTTCTTCCTTTCACTAGATGTCTGGTTCCAATGCAACAACAGTTTAAGCTTTGTTTCTGCTTATTACCTTTTAGGAAGCCTTGTATAAATCTTACTTGTGACATACACTCATACGTCAATGTAATGCATTACATTGAATAACCCCGGTTTGGTGCCATGTGTCTGCTTTGGATATCAGGGGATTGTATAGTGTCTGCTTTGGATATCAGGGGGTTGTATAGTGTCTGCTTCGGATATCAGGGGGTTGTATAGTGTCTGCTGTGGATATGAGGGGGTTGGATAGTCCATACAACTCTCCAGTGGGTATTCATCGAACTTTTGAACAGAATGACAAGCGTGCTTTTCACTATGTCCCAGTGACTACTTTCCCACTCTCCAACATCACGAGTTGATCACTCCCCTGGATGTGCAGTGGTGTGCACCTCCCATGTGAGTGCTAGATTGTACACGTACATAGATTGACCGGGGCGTTTACACTGTGCTGGATGCAGGTTGATCAACCACGGAGAACTAAAACGTATACCAGGTACTACAATTGCATGTACTTCCTGCCAAGAAAGTGCACGATCACACACTCTGTGTGTGTGTGCGTGCGTGTACACACTACAAACACGCAATGTACATATACGCTTGATGTTTGTGATCTCCCTGATCGGCATGGGTCATGCAACCCACACCACGTCGTGTAAACGGTTGTTTACAGGACTCCCCCGTAAACAATCACTATCTCCCCCCCCCCCCCCAGTTGCAATGCTTTCGCCTGTAAAAGAGGCTGTTCACTACTTTCGGAAAAAAATATTTTCCCCAAACCGTACAGATTTCCAAATCACGCAACGTCATTCAAAGTTCGCATGTACCGGTACTTGCAAGTAAACCCAGCTGCAATAGTATCACCCCGAACACACTGTAAAGTGTTTTCCGAAGTCCATGCAAATCATCGGACTTGTCTGCAAAGGATCAGAGCATGCCCGGTGACAGATGTAAACGCGGGGACGGCTGGAAAAGCACGCATGAAGCAAGCTAGCATTGCATCAACTGCAAAACACCAAGAGTTGCTCGTCGTCACTCAGTGAATCCAGTCACGTCGTTACTCAATGAAATCCAGTCGCGTCGTCACTCAATGAAATCCAGTCGCGTCGTAATACTCAATGAAATCCAGTCGCGTCGTCACTCAATGAAATCCAGTCGCGTCGTTACTCAATGAAATCCAGTCGCGTCGTCACTCAATGAAATCCAGTCGCGTCGTTACTCAATGAAATCCAGTCGCGTCGTCACTCAATGAAATCCAGTCGCGTCGTTACTCAATGAAATCCAGTCACGTCGTTACTCAATGAAATCCAGTCGCGTCGTCACTCAATGAAATCCAGTCACGTCGTTACTCAATGAAATCCAGTCGCGTCGTCACTCAATGAAATCCAGTCGCGTCGTCACTCAATGAAATCCAGTCACGTCGTCACTCAATGAAATCCAGTCGCGGCGTTACTCAATGAAATCCAGTCGCGTCGTCACTCAAGTACGCGCCGGGCGTTGCGCAGTCCTAGACCTGTGAACACTGGGCTGGGGAATGATGCAAGACGCAAACTTTATCGACGCGACTGGATTTCATTGAGCAGCACTGCAGCATACGCCAGGCATACATGTCTACCATCCCTCTTCAGCAGACATTTACACCTTGGACCTTGGACGCCCATCGCGTAGCGATGATGGCTCAGACGCGGCAGTGGGGGGCGTGCCTCTTCAGGTCCCCAATGCGGCCAAAGGGACGGCCACATGCGCAACGGAACACACACACACACACACACACACACACACACACACACACATGCACACACACACGCACACCAGCTAGGGTGTTGGTATTAGATGACTCCCTGGTCCACAATTAAGAAGATCAGAGGTTGAGTAACGGTTGGTGATTATGGAGCGTAAATCAGATAATGTTTACCCTGTAGGATATGTCTGTATGCATAAATAGTTTGAGAGTGAGATTCATATGCCAGCTCTATAAGAACCATCGAGTGTTTACTTCAAGAAAAGAAAGTATGAACAGTGGCAAATTGGGCTAGGGCCCTTAGGGGTATCTTAGAGTGTCTACGTGTATATCACCTACATTCCACATGGATTGCAGGCACAAAACTCAACCTTGATTATCGAATTAACTATTCACTGGCGACGCTCTGCTTGCGTAAAAGAGGTTTTTCAACCTGCTGGTCATCGTCCCAAGATTCTGAAGTGACTTGCTGCAATATACATGAGCAGCGTGCAGTAAAATACGGCTTCTAATGTCCGGGATCGCCTGGAGTTTGGAAATAGACAGAACCTCTGAACATGGTGACTGGGAATGGAATTAGCTGGAATCGCCGCCACCGCCGCCGGGTCATGCTGAAGTGCTGTAGTGGGTCAGGCATTGCTCAGCCTTGGCCACACATGGCAAGAACGCCTGGTGCAGTTTCATACGTTCCAGCTATGAATCACTAGTGCGGCTTTCTGCTGGACTGCATTCCTGCAGCAGTTAAGCCCTGCTGTGCGAATGGACAAAAGGATAACTATCGCAGAGAATTCACCTGCAGAAAGACTAACTATGTGCCCGCCGCATGCACAGATCAAAGTCATCAAACACTACGGACTGGTCACGGAGAGGTGTGTCGTCAGGACTGGACCGCTAGAAAACGCCGCTGAGGGCCGACGACAGTACAGTGCTTCTATCCGACAGCCAGCCGCCAGTATGTTTCTGCGCGTCTGCTACGGTTCTTGGCCGAGCAGGCTGCACTGGTGACTCGGAGGATGACGAGCAGATGGCCGGAGCTCGAGCTGGTTTCCCGTGTGCTGCCTGACTAAGACTACAAGACGACCGTGTACCAGCGGCAGCGCGTTGTATTCGCTGTAGATTCTCCAAATGGTTCTGCCAGATGGGGATCATGCGTGCACTCTTGGGACCATTTCCTCCCGCCATTTGATCACTTGGAGGAACCGACGGCTTTGCCGCCGCACCTGTAGAGTCGTCCGAGTCGCTCATAGCAACCATGGCTACATCCAGACTAGAAAGGTCTGGGCCACGTCGCTGCTGACTAGAGCTCTTCTTCTTGACAAGCTGTCGACGTATTCTACCAGGGTTGCTGCGGTTACCAGGAGGAGTTCCTGTGGTTGGCATGCCAACATCACCAACTGATGTCCTGCACATTGCCTGCTGCTGTGGCCCTTGCTGATGCCGGCGGCCTATGGCTGTCGACATGCCCTCCGTGTCTAGATCGGGTACCATGAGTCTATGCGGGTATGGTCGTGTTGGGGTGGCGCAGCTTGTGGTACTTTCATCACCGCTGCTAACCTCAGCTGATAAATGCACTGCACTCCATGTGGACTCCGCATCCACTATTTGTTTACTAGCTCCTCGACTACATCTTGATGCTGCGTTTGCACCTCCGCGTTGCTCAGCCGCTCCACCCAGCGATTGCAGGATATCGGGACGGTCGCCAGAGCGAACACGGCTCAGCGGGCTGCTGCTGGCGGAGCAACTCTCCAGTTTGCTGGCAATCGTTTCAATGGTGCTCTGAGTGAGCGGTGGCGGCGGTTTGCTTTGCCCTGCAACACCACCTCCTGCTGCTGCTGCTGCTGCTGATGTTACGCCACTCAAGCCGTTCACGGATGGCGATGCGTCGTCGAGGCACACCAGAAGATCTGGATGGGCGCTTTTCCTGGCGGTCTCCTGGCGCAGCGCGGCGTCTTCGTCCGCGGTGGTAATCAGCTGCGCTATGACAGGACCGTGGGAAGTGCTGGACTCACAGCAACTGACATTGCTACCAGCACTGTCAGCACCACCAGCATCACTATCACAGCTATTGTCTGAATCGAATGGATTACCACTGGCGCTGACGGTGAATGGCATGCAGTAATCAGCAGGGTGAGATGAAATCAAAGATTTCCTTTCACCGGAGTCCCGACGGAATTCACCATTCTCATGCTCGCCTACATTGAGCATTTGTGTCGTCAGTTGTGCAGTTGGGGTTGTTGCTGAGCGTTGCTGCTGCTGCCGTTGGCCGTTGGCCGTAGTGGACGTATCTCGCTCGGTGAACTCTACGTCGATGCCCTCCAGGACACTGCTATGGCTGCTGGTGATGACATCATGCTGCGTTGCCGATCCGGCCACCCCTGCTCCACGCTGATCTGCAGAGCTAGTACTGGTGTTGCCATGGTTACTCTGTCGACTCAGAGTGGTCGAGCGCCGCCAGTGCGGCGAGTCCAGGGAGAGCGGGGCGTGCGAGAGAATGCGAGGTGGACGGATGTGCCGACTGCTGGTCTGCTGCTCGGCAAGTACCGTAGCCAGTGGTGCTACTCTAGACCTTGAAGACGCGGCGGCAGTGACGTGTGACGAACCGGACGTGCTTGTCCTCTCCTTCTCCAGATTGGGCGATACATGGCGCTGACGGCCCATCACATGACCCTTGACTGGCTCCACGTTGCGACTTAGCGGCATGGGCGCAAAGAGGAATATAGCTCTGTCCTGGCGTCGATGGCGCTCGAAGAAATTCTTCTCCAGCTTGGCCACGTCGTCGTCTTTCGGCGCCGGCTTGATCTTGTTGTTGACTTTCCTGGACACAGACTCCAATGCCGGGTGGGCACTCTGTATGATGTCCTGGACGTCAGCATTAGAGAAAGCGCTGGCCGCCACAGGAAGAATACCGGAGAAGCAGCTGCCCACGATGTGTGTCGTCTCCAGCGCATCGCTTACATCATCACGACCGCCGGTGTCGGCATCGCTCTCAGCCGCGGCCACATCAGCCACACTGTTATCCAGTGGGTGTATGTTGTAGCGGTAGTTGTCACACAGAGACTTCAGACCAGGGAAGGGAAATGGCGCCACCTTGAAGATCCTCTGGAGTAGACGCACGCAAGTACATGAGTACATGCATACACTGTGGATTACAAGTGTATGTGCATGCCACCCAAGCCAATGAACATACCGTATAATTATGTCTCTATTATAAGCGCTGTGCTTATATTTTTCAATACCCCTCTACCCCGTGCTTATATTGGAGACCGTGCTTATATTTTTTAAACCAATATATCCATACAGAGCAAGAAGAAATGCATGCTAGATATCATGCATGCAGCATTGATTTCCACCAAGACCGTGCTAATAATAGAGACTGTGCTTATAATGTTTCGAAAGGTGCTCAAAGTGTGCTAGTATTAGAGACTGTGCTAGTAATGGAGACTTGTGCTTATAATAGAGAATATACGGTATGCAGCCTGTACATGTACGAAATCCGGCTGAAGACCAAAAAGTACAGCAGCGCTTGTGTTGTACATGTGGCTGCGCTTGTGTCTCTTCGTTGTACATGCGGTTGCACGTGTGTCTCTTTGTCGTACATGTGGCTGCGTTTGTGTCTCTTTTGTCGTACACGTGGCTGCGTATGTGTCTCTGTGTCGTACATGCTGCTGACCCGTGGTACACGCCGCTGCGCTGTCTTGAAATGCTTTGTACATGCCGCTGCACCGTCTTCTGTCCCCTTGGTATGCATTATTTCTCATCTCGTCCCCGTTGCATACACATTTTCTCGTCTTGTCTCCGTTGTACAGTAGATATTGGTTATAACGTGCCCTTCTGATTTTTCACATTTTATCCCTATAACCGGTATATCACTACAGGCGATTTTCAACTGCGCGCGTCATACATACACATTATACACGTGTGGGTACTCGATCGCGCTAATGTAGCGTACTGATACGTGATGGATGCTACTGCACCTTCTCCAGTCTAGAGCGAAGAACTTCTTGGCCCAAAGGCATCATCCAGGAAGCACCAGACCAGAATACCCTATGAAAACACACACGTGGCTCCAAATCGAGACATCAATGCCTCACACTCGTGTGTTGCTATCACTATAGACGATACCTTTTCTGCACAAAGAGGTGTTTTGAATGGTGATTCTGTATTCTTATAGCCGATTTATCGCTATATACGATATATTGGTTATAATGATAATTTGACTGGCTTTTTCTGGTTTTGCTTTTGATATTTTCATTTTGTATCAATATAGCCGGTTTATCACTATGTCCGATGACTTTATAACCGATATCCACTGTATTTGTCTGGTTGCCGTCTTGTGTCCGTCGTATTTCCCCGTCGTTCGTCTTTGTCTCCCGTCCTGTTCAGGCCTTGTTGTACTTTGCACAGGCACCTCTTTCGTATCCCTCACCCCACTTTTTCCCCTCTTTTCTCCACGTCCCCATAATATATTCTCTTGTCCGTTTTGTTGGAGCGCAGTTCTCCAGTCGCCTTGTGATAGCAAGTTAGAGAAAACGCTCTCTCCCAGTTTGCACGAGTCTTTTGTTGTTGTGTGGAGTGGCGAGGAGAGCAACAGTTCGTCCAATTAAATTGACGACATTTGGCGCCCAACGTGGGGCTCGACCCCACGACCCTGAGATCTCATGCTCTACCGACTGAGTAGTTTTGTGTTTTGTTTAGAGGGAGGGGGGGGGGGGGAGAGAGAGAGAGAGAGAGAGAGAGAGAGAGAGAGAGAGAGAGAGAGAGAGAGAGAGAGAGAGAGAGAGAGAGAGAGAGAAGCTTTCCATCCCACATGTGTACATGCGCATACAGTACATGCGCATACAGTACATGCATGGTAGTATATACAGTACATGCATGGCACTGGACGTAGTTCTTGTAGATATCGTACATGCAGTTGTATGTAGTACTATGTACGCACGTGCAGGCATGCACGTGCTTGTACCGCTTTATGTATAGCACGAGAGAGATGACATGGCGCACTTCTGATAGAGAACTAAAGAAGATCTGTTTAGCACAATGGCTGTCTTGTGAGTGACTGAATAGATGTCTACATTGGCGCAGTGAACGAAAATGACAAAGGGCAGGACGCCCAAGGAATTTATTCCTGACTATGCTGCGAGCAACGTCGGTGCTGATTTTGAACTCTGGCTCGAGGACATAAATGATTTCCTTTCAATCAGTGAAGTGACGGCAGCAGCTGACAAGAAACGCTTGTTCTTGAATCTGGCTGGATTAGCAGTGAGGCGCATTGTGAAAGGTCTGGTTGTCACGGTGGAGCAGACACAAGATGGCTCACCTGGAGATGAGTACCAAGCCTTGACGGACGCATTGTTGGCACACTTTCGACCGTCAACAAATGTCACGTCTGAACGTCACAAATTCCGCCAACTCCGCCAAATGGAGGGCGAGTCGGTGACTTCGTTCGTTGGGCGGCTGAGAGAAAAGGCAGATGTTTGCGAATTCAGCTCCACTTCTGTGGATACCATTGTCAACTGCCAAATTCGAGACCAGCTGATCGTGGGCCTGCGTTCTGTTGAGCTTCGAAAGGAGCTGCTGAAACAGTCGAAGCTGACCCTGAACGACGCCGTCACCAAGTCAGTGGCGTTGGAAGCGTCGATTACTGACAGTAAACTGTACGATAGTACCAGAGCTAGTGACACACCGCCTGTGTTCCCCGTGCCCATCCAGCGTGTGCAAGCTGTCTCTGCAGCTGGTTCTGGATCAGAGGGAAAGAAGTGCAAATACTGCGGACGTAGTCACAAACCAGGCATGCGTAACTGTCCTGCGGCCAACGTCACCTGCAACAAGTGTGGCACGCGAGGGCATTTTGCAGCGGTCTGCATGTCAAACAAAGTGGAAAGACACGAAGAAAGAGCCCGGCCAGTAGAGGATGAGCCTGATGAGTATGAGCATGCAAGTCGCATGTACGACTCCGCTTTCGCCGTCAGTAGCTCGGCACTCGCAGGCGACAAGACATTCCAGACTACACTCAAAGTCAATGGTGAGCTGTGCACTGGACTGTTAGACACAGGTGCAACTCGGACGATCCTCACTGATGATGTGATCAAGCCCACGCGCAAGAGTGACCGCTTGCTGAAAGCGTACAATGGCGGTGTCGTAGAGACTTTGGGCATGGCTGACGTCCACATTTCACATGGTGGCAAGAACGTGAAGTGCAGTTGTTTCGTGGTAGCAGCCAGTCAGCACTCCGTTCTCTTCGGACAGGATGTCATCAAGGAGCTGAACCTCCTGTCACAAGCATACGTGGTGAACGTGTCACCCATCGAAATCTCTCTGGAAGACGGTTCAAAGCCTCAAGCCCAGCCACCACGACGCCCAGCTTTCAGTATCCGGGCTGACATCGAGACCGAGCTGAAACGGCTGACCAAGTTGGATATCATTGAACCCGTCAAGGAAGCCACGCCGTGGGTGTCACCACTTGTTCCAGTCCGCAAACCGAATGGAGCATTGCGACTATGCGTGGACTACAGAGAACTGAATAAGAGAGTTACACGTGAGCGCAACGTTCTTCCAACCGTTGACGAGATCACAGCTCAGCTTGATGGCGCAGGGGTCTTCTCAGTTCTGGATGCGGAATCTGGATTCCATCAGCTACTCTTGTCAGAAGAAGCAAGGCCTCTAACGACTTTCTCATCGCACTGTGGCCTGTTCCGTTTCAAGCGTTTACCTTTCGGTATTGCATGTGCGCCTGAGATTTTCCAGCGAGTGGTGTCCGACATTCTGGAAGGCCTGCCAGGAGTCATCGTCTACATCGACGACATCCTAGTGTTTGGCTCCAATCAAGCAGAACACGATGCACGGCTAGAAGCAGTCAAGCAGCGACTGCGAGCAGCTAACCTCCAACTCAACTGGACCAAGTGCCGACTGAACCAGGACCGTGTGAAGTATCTGGGACATTGGCTAAGTGCGACCGGCTTGTCCCCAGATGATGACAAGTTACAAGCCATCCAGGAGCTGGCCCCTCCGAAATCTATCTCTGATGTGCGACGGTTCCTGGGGATGGCTACGTACCTTGGAAAGTTCATTCCGAACTTGGCCCAGATCACGGCTTCTCTGCGCAGGCTAGCAAAGCGTGATCCCTTCAGTGTGGATGATGAAGTCCTGCAGGCATTCACCTCAGCAAAGGCTGGTATAGCGTCAGCTTTGCAAGCGTTGGCATTCTTTCAACCAGCATTGGACGTCCCTACTGCTATCAGCTGTGATGCATCGCCAGACGGTTTGGGAGCAGTCCTGTGGCAGAAGAATACCAGTGGCTGTTGGGTACCAGTGACATGTGCCAGTCGCTCTCTATCAGATGTTGAGTCACGCTATTCTCAGCTGGAACGAGAGATGCTGGGAATGGTATTCGGCCTGACTCGCTTTCGGCAGTATGTACTAGGCCGAGAAGTGCAAGTGTTTACGGATCACAAGCCGCTTATTTCTATCGTCCAGAAGCCGTTCGACGAAGTGCCACCGAGGCTTCAGAGATGGCTGGTCGCATTGATGCCCTATCGCTACAGCTTGGTGTTCGTCCCTGGCCAGCAGATGGTTTGTGCTGACACCCTCTCTCGAGCTCCTCTACCTGATCGCACAGCTTCACCTGCAGAGGCACGTTCAATGGCGGAATTCGTTAGTCTCATTCTCGAGGCTTGTCCGGTTCGTTCCAAGGATATTCGCCAGGCCACAGACTCTGATCCGACACTGAGCAGCGTCCGACAAAGAGTGGGCACATCAGTTTGGTCAGGGTGCATCCAAACGGAAGAGCCTTACTTCCTGCTACGCCATCAGCTGACAGTCATTGAAGGGATTGCCATGCTAGACAATCGCTACGTCATTCCAGAAGAGCTCCGCCCAGCGGTGCTGCGACTAGCACATGAAGGTCATCCAGGCATCGATGCATTCCGGGATACCCTTCGCGAACGGGTTTGGTGGCCAGGTCTCATGAAGGATGCCAATCTGTTTGCAGAGAAATGCTCTGAATGCTGGCGTAAACGCTCCAATCCAGCGCAACAGCTCCTCCCTACAGAGATAGAAGGTGTCTGGCAGAAACTGGCCATTGACCTTGTTACCATTGAGGGAGCCACGTTCCTGTCTGCTATTGATTATGGTTCCCGCTGGCCAGAGCTTCTACCACTGTCCAATACTACGACAACGGGTGTGATCGACAAGCTGATGGAGTTGTTCGCACGGTTTGGTCTGCCTTCAACACTCGTCTCGGATTGGGGCCCACAGTTTGCATCCACTGAGATGTCCAAGTTTCTCGCTCAGTTGGGTGTTGAGCATTGCAAGTCTAGCCCCCGGTATGCCCGCTCTAACGGTATGGTGGAGCGACTACATCGTCTGGTGAAAGAACGAGTTGCCAGCCTGAGACCTCATCTACCGCTACACCGCCGCATCACTCAAGTCTTGTTCGACATTCGCAATTCGCGGCACCGGATGCTAGGTACATCGCCGAGCAAAGCGTTGTTCAGCAGAGTCATTCGGACACGGGTTCCAGCATCCATCACCCCACAGATCGTCAACCCATCTGAGCAGATCAAGGCGAAAGCAGCAATGGTTGAAGGTCATGACTCGCGCCGAGGTGTCCGCAAGTTACCCCATTTGCCATCAGGTACGCGGGTAGTGCTCCATGATGGGTACAGCGACCCTCGAAAAGAATGGAAGGTAGTAGAGCAGTATGGTCGTCAGGTTGGGGTCACTGATGGGTCACGCATACTGCTCCGGAACCGTCAGCATGTTACCGAGTTTGTAGCACCAGCAGCAGCAGCAGCGGAGAAAGCACCCATGAGTGAACCTCCGGCACAGTCAGAGAGGGAGCATGTGCCAGAGCCAGTGTGTGCTCCAGCACTGCCAGTGTCCGACCCAACAAGCCTTCCGTCAGCGAGCAGCGCAACATCCAGGCCCGAAGCTCCGTTAACTGCGCTCACATTGCCGTTGTCTCCTGCAGCTTCACCGGAGACGACAGCATCACCTGCAACACCGGCCTGTATGTCACTGTCACCGCCAACATCTCGTCCAAGTGTATTCCGCGAGGGCGTACAGACCAGAGCTGGCCGTCAGATCAAGCTTACAGAGAAAGCACGTGAAGCTGACATCTGAGTCGTCGAGTCATGCATTACCAAATGAGTGGCTTCAATCGCTACCAGATTGGCGTTGTTTAGAATCTTCTAACTACCTTGTGAATATTTAGATTTTTCTTTATTTTTTCCCCTTATTGGTCGAGTTTGCATTGTAACTCAAACTCATGGTGTTTTTGCCTCAAGTTTTGAGTCAGATTATTTCTAATAGTTGCAACACTTCCCGTCTCTCTTTTACTCCAACACATGTACGTACATTCCTCTGCAAGCTGCAGGATACGGATGCAAGTGTTTTTGTTTTGTTTTTGTTTTCCTTTTTTCTCTTTCTTTTTTTTTTTTTTTTTGAGGGAAGGGGGGTAATGTAGATATCGTACATGCAGTTGTATGTAGTACTATGTACGCACGTGCAGGCATGCACGTGCTTGTACCGCTTTATGTATAGCACGAGAGAGATGACATGGCGCACTTCTGATAGAGAACTAAAGAAGATCTGTTTAGCACAATGGCTGTCTTGTGAGTGACTGAATAGATGTCTACAGTTCTCACCTCTAGTAGCATGTCAACGGTAAACGCAGCGCCGCTCAGCATGTCTTTGGACAAGTTGCTCATCATGGAGTAGAAGTCTGGAGCACTTTCTGCAAGCAACAGGTGCCTAAAACAGGGTGACAAAAAAACAAACAAACCCAAAAGCCATCCTATCAATGGCAATGTGGCCTTTCTCTGCATACAGCAGCAGAATGTGATGCTGCGAGTCTCACTAGAGAATGCCACACCAGTGATCACATTGGGTGTAGCTACACATCCAGTCTTTATCCGGCCCGCACAAACAAAAGGGGTAACAGCTGGAGACCCTCTAGATCGGCTTTTAGCCCTTGGGGAATCCTTTGAATAAGAGAAAAAGAAGAAAAACATCTGCTGCAGAGAAAATGCAGATACACCCAGTTATAACTATACCATAGCACTAGTTACAGGTACCATGGTTACAGGTACCATGGTTACAGGTACCATGGCAATGTCTGTAAGTTGGTACTAACTTCTCCAGTAGTGACCATACGGCAAGGCCCACGCGGAACAGTATCTCGGCGCCGTGCAAGATGAGCAGATCCCAGACGCGCAGAACGGTCTCCATCGGCAAGCACGTGGCAAACGCTGTCAGGAACCACTGCACCGTGAACACATCTGTCAGCGGCGGCTCGTGTGACACACAATTCTCATCAGCTGAATATACCAAGGAATCCACAACAAAACCAAAAAACGCAGAAAAAATTGATCATTTACGGTCGTCAAGCACAATACATACATGCGCAAGTACATATACAGTCAATCGTGCGAATAATGACCCCCGATCGTGCATGGCTATAGTGTTCTTATTACCCCCGATCGTGCATGGCTATAGTGTTCTTATTCGCTAGTTGGCGTTACTTGCGAGGCTGAAATTATGCTGTCGGATAGTCACTGTAGGTCCGATGATTGTGTCGTTATTCACAAGCTGTTGTTCTGCCCGGGATCATTGCTCACTACTTGTAGGCTGGCTGTATACATACATGCATGTACGAAGATTGAATATTTTTTGCAGTAGGAAACATACTAGTATTACTTTGTGAAGTTCTAGAAAGTGTTGGGCATAGCACCTGCATTGTCAGAAAAAAATCTCTAAGGGCGCGTTCTTATATTCTCTAGCTTCTAGGAGAAGAAGAAAAGAGAAGTCGAAGAAACTGGGATTACTCAAGAACGGGTCTCGAAGAATTCGGAGATATTTTGCACATGTCAAGCAAAATGAAGCGCCAAAGGGGCCGCGATCTTGAGTGATGAATATAGTAATGCACGTGTGCGTATGCGAAAAGGGAAATGCGTACACTCAATGATGAACACGTGGCTTTTAGTCGTAGTTCGCATGCGCTGATCCCAACCGCGGGAATCTCCAAGTTTCTTCAACCACCTCTGAAGCTTGGAGAGCTTGGAGAGCTTTGGAGAGCCTCCTAAAAGTCGGAGAGGATATAAGAACAGCTCTCGAACTTTTTGAAGAGTCTCTAACTTTTCCGAGAGGATTTAAGAACGCACCCTAAATAGGTATGTGGCCCGAAACAAGTACTCTCTTCCTTTATTTTATTTTTTTGGAAACGGGAGTTTTCCACCATAATTATACAATTATTATTTATTCAGAATGTACCATTTATTGAAACAAAGAAAAATGGTGGCACCTATGTACAGGGGATGGCTCTTCATTTCTTGACTCTGTCTGTTGTAGTCAAGTCTGGCGGAATAAACATACAGTCCAAAATCATTAGCCGTGTGGCTCACGTATATACAATGCAACATGCACACACGCATAGAGCGGCATACACTGGAGAAAAAACGACTTCTCCGACATCGGTTATCCAACCACTTCTGGGCTGGGAAGGTGTAATGAACATTTTCTGGATATGGAAAATCTCACCACATGCCAATACCTGTGTTCGGTATATCACAGCACCCGCAACAACAGTTGTTTTCATGTTAGATTTTGTGAGTTTTGTAAGTCTTTGACTGTACAGCCTGCACATAGTGGTACAGGCAGCGAGTGCGCGCTGCAGCAACTAACTTTTCGTGCAAGCTCCCGTACGAAAATGTGTAGCCTGAGCCACGTGCGGTTCGAAAACCCATTCCTGATAATCGAATGGTCGGATAATCGATGTTCGGATAATCGATGTTCGGATAATTGATGTTAAACTGTAAGAACGTACTTATTTACGGACTTTGACGGCACTGCGTAGACAAAATTATAGTTTTCGGTCGGTTCGTCAGAACAAAGCTTTTCCGAAAATGGGACTAAGTGGCAGCCCTGCTGATTATGGTAAGGGTTGAGTTATGGTAAGGGTTGAGTTATGGTAAGCCGGGTTGAGTTATGGTTAGGGTTGAGTTATGGTAAGGGTTGAGTTATGGTAAGGGTTGAGTTATGGTAAGGGTTGAGGTATGGTTAGGGTTGAGTTATGGTTAGGGTTGAGTTATGGTAAGGGTTGAGGTATGGTAAGGGTTGAGGTATGGTAAGGGTTGAGGTATGGTAAGGGTTGAGTTATGGTAAGGGTTGAGTTATGGTAAGGGTTGAGGTATGGTTAGGGTTGAGGTATGGTTAGGGTTGAGGTATGGTTAGGGTTGAGTTATGGTAAGGGTTGAGGTATGGTTAGGGTTGAGTTATGGTAAGGGTTGAGGTATGGTTAGGGTTGAGTTATGGTAAGGGTTGAGGTATGGTTAGGGTTGAGGTATGGTAAGGGTTGAGGTATGGTTAGGGTTGAGTTATGGTTAGGGTTGAGTTATGGTAAGGGTTGAGGTATGGTTAGGGTTGAGTTATGGTAAGGGTTGAGGTATGGTTAGGGTTGAGACTCAGCAAGCGGGTAAACACCAAGCTACCTACTCAATACAGTCCTGTTACTCCTGTACGGTCTTGTACTTACCCATCAGACCAAACTCAAAGTCTATGGCCACCTCCTGCAAGAAGCGCAGGTGATTCCACAGCCGTGGCAGATGCTTCTTCATTAGAACACGGAAGACGACCATGTCAGCCTGTAGGGTACTCAAGTTGTTGGTGAAGTAGTTTGGCGGCAATAGATTGTCAACAAGATAGATCATGACCTGTCATAGAAGCACAGCATGTTAAACACAGCAACCATTTATGTGGCACACACACATGCACGCATACGCAAACACACACGCACACGCACATGTACACGCATGGACACACACACATGCACACACATACATGTATAGTCAAGCGATTTTCTGGGATGCAAAGGTGATCATGGAGAGGAAATGCAAAGGTGATAATCGACAGGCAACCAACACTGGCCTCAGTAGGATAGGCACATGTCTCCTGTCCTTATGCCACCGAGTATTCTTTTACAAGTACCCTTCACTGACCTTCAGTGCCTTTTCCTCGGTGTTGTTGAGAACCTGCAGGAGCACAGCTGCCAGGATGTTGAAACCTTGACAATAGCCAACTGACTTGTTCCAACGGGCGTACGCCAGCAGGACTCGTTTCAAGATGGCACGCTCCCGGGCAGCGTCCTGTCCGCAGAAACCGCTGCAGCCAGTTCTGTGCAAGTCCTAAACACACGCACAACAGCACAAACAAACAAAAAACAGCAGGAAGTTGAGACTATCAAAGGAATCAATTTAACACCATGTGAAAGAAAAGACAGTTGGATGGCATCTAATCCACTTCAACGGGGACATACGGCGCTCACCGCAGGCTGAGTCAGGCTGCGCTGCATGCGGCTAGCCAGTAACATGTGCCGACTGGTGATGAACCCTTATCGATTGGGACAGTGCAGGCTACACTTCCCAGCACCTAGACACGCTTGTTTAAAAAGGTAGTCTGCTGCAATAGTCTGCTGCAATAGTCTGCTGCAATAGTCTGCTGCAATAGTCTGCTGCAATAATCTGCTGCATGGCAGATGTGCAGTATACAGTATGTCCATGAGTGGAGTTCGCAACATGGCGCAATGTTACTACACATGCGGCTTGCACATCTCACTTCCTAGGTTATTACAAGCCTACAACCCTACTTAGGGGTCGTCCATAATTATCGAACTTTTTTCACGAAACGAAATAATTTCGTTATGGGGTGGGAGGGGGTTGACCAATTTCGTTTCAGAAAACTTCGATACATGTACATGGCCATAGGAACAGTGACACCCTTGCGACTTTTGTTGTATATGCATGTATATGTCAACAATTTTTACGTTCTGAGGGGGAGGGAGGGAGGGGTTGGGTCCAAACTAAAATAATTCGTTTGGTGAAAAACGTTCGATATTTACGGACGGCCCCTAAATGACAACCCTACTTAATGACAACCCTACTTAATGACAACCCTACTTAATGACAACCCTACTTAATGACAACCCTACTTAATGACAACCCTACTTCATGACAACCCTACTTCATGACAACCCTACTTAATGACAACCCTACTTAATGACAACCCTACTTAATGACAACCCTACTTAATGACAACCCTACTTAATGACAACCCTACTTAATGACAACCCTACTTAATGACAACCCTACTTAATGACAACCCTACTTAATGACAACCCTACTTAATGACAACCCTACTTAATGACAACCCTACTTAATTTAAATGAAAAATCTACTTTATGACAAGTCTACTTTCAAATGACAGGTCTACTTAGGGGTCATCCGTAAAATAATACCGAAATTTATTTAGAAACGAAATCTAGTCGTTTCTCTTCAACCCCTCCCCCTCCCTGAGAAACTCACACATACAAACGGTGCATAGAATCGATATTTTTTTCTTTTTCTCTGGACGTGCCCACACATACAAACTATGCGTCGACATTTTTCGAGAAACGAACAGGCGCTCAACCCCCCCCCCCCCCTAAACGACTAGTTTTCGTTTCTAAATAAATATCTATGATCTATATTTACGGATGGCCCCGGAATGCTAATGAGTAATGACATCCAGTTGATCATTCTCCAGTTTTAAAGATCTATGTGCATGATTACTCATTATGGGGTATTTACAACTGAGCATGGCAACACTCAGCCCAGAGTCAAAAAGTTGATCACTGCAATACCACCAGAAAAGTCCACCGCCAGAGGGCCACACACCTTGACAATTTGGATACCCAGGTTGTCATCATCCGGATTGCTCTTGTCATTGAAAGCAAAGCGTTTCACTTCCTGCCAGTCAACTTCTTTCAGAGCATGATCGGCCATACCGAGCCACACCTAGTAAGCAGTGGGACAAGAGGTGATACGGGAGGCAGTTACACATCATGAGTTGAAGCACTAGAATGAACAGTGATAATACCGTCAGCATTTGTAGACTGTTGTAACGGAAGGTTACCCTGCTTCTCTATTTCCCTGGGGAAAAAACAACAACAACAAAATGGAATAAATCACATGGAAACGAGTTTTGAAGCAACTATCCACGACTGTAACAAGATAATAAGCAGCCAGAAAGTGCGATAACAGGGCACAAAACTGACAGGCAACTGAGACATTCAACGACCTCAGACCTAGGTCTAACACACCTCCAGTGTGCAAACCAACAGCCTTCCAGCTTGGAAGGTTCAACCTGTCAGTTTTGTGCCCTGTTATCGCCGCACTTTCTGACTGCTGATTATCTTGTTGCAGTCGTGGATAGTTGCTTCATAACTCGTTTCCATGTGATTTCTTCCATTTTAATTATATTTACTGGCTCAGCATCCGAGGTAAGTGATAATAAAAAAATAAATAAAAAACGTGAAGCTGAATTTAGGCACCCAAGATGGCAGAGGTCGTATCTGTTCACGGGGAGACAGATGAATCCCAGGACATACCACCCTGGGGCCTAATAACTACAACTCCAAGGAGAGGGCAACTTTGTCTAATGGCTGTTGTTTATTTAGAACAAAGAGGAAGAAATGTTTCATGCGCATGCGTATGTAGTGAGGGAGCTGATGTCATGCAGCGAGGTCGCTACAGTACTCCCCCACCAGAGAACAAGCGGAGCGCAGAGAACGACAGAGAAAAACAAGGAAATATAGAGAGCGCTGCATGTGCATGTGCATGTGCATGTGCATGTGATGCATGTGATGCATGTGATGCATGTGATGCATGTGATGCATGTGATGCATGTGATGCATGTGATGCATGTGATGCATGTGATGCATGTGATGCATGTGATGCATGTGATGCATGTGATGCATGTGATGCATGTGATGCATGTGATGCATGTGATGCATGTGATGCATGTGATGCATGTGATGCATGTGATGCATGTGATGCATGTGGCGTATCACTGTTTTTAAAGTGGCAACAAGGCCGAAACAGAGAAATAAAATGCAGGAAGCAGAAAAGATATGCGTGACAGAGGCGGGTTAACATGTCAGAGGTGGATTAACGTGACAGAGGTGGAGAGCATGTCAGAGGCAGAAAGAGAAAAAAAACTGTATGCGAACTGTGAAGGCAGAGGGAAAGACGCGCAGTGATCAGTTGCGGGGAAACTTGCCGTTGAGCAGCCCATGTAGCCGTGTATGCGAGTGTGGCGAGGCAGCGACTGGTGAGTTGGCAGCCAATCCAGGTACGGAACAACATGACAGCAGTACAGTACAAAATGCAGCAGTGCTGGCTCCACAATTGGGGAGGTTTTGCGGGTGGGAGGGGGCCAAGCTCCAGCTTGTGGCCGGCGCACACTGGTCGGAGGGGGGTTGCTCCACAGCAGCTCCAAGTCCAGGCAGTGAGGTGCGGATGGTGAGGCTCAAGTTTAATGTCAACAGCCGGTGCATGATTGACAGGCAGCCAGAATGCGGTGCACACAGGAACGGATTGTGGCGAAAACCAGTGATGGCTGGCAGGCTGACGGGCGGAAACAGCATGACGACGGATGGCGGGCGGCAGGAGGGCGTAGTCTGCAGCAGCTCCAGGTGTGCCGAGTGCGGGTGGGCGACGAGAGGCACCACAGATTCCCAAATCCGGAAAGTAAAAAAACAAGAATGCTCCGCGAGCGCAGCGTCGGGGGTCACAAATTTGGGCACCCAAGATGGCAGAGGTCGTATCTGTTCACGGGGAGACAGATGAATCCCGGGACATACAACCCTGGGGCCTAATAAATACAACTACGAGGAAAAAAAGAGGAAGAAATGTTTCATGCGCATGCGTATGTAGTGAGGGAGCTGACGTCGTGCAGCGAGGTCGCTACATGAACACATGCATGCACGCATGCACACACGCGCACACACGCACACATACACACACACATACACACACACACACACACACACACACACACACATACATACACACACATATGCACACACATACACACACGCACGCACGCACGCACGCACACACGCACACACACACACACACACCATTGGACCATTGGACGCCCATCGCCGGAGGCGATGATAGCGATGCTACAGCAGAAGCCATAGCAATTTGTGCTGGGATTGCACCATTCAACAGCTTGCAAAGCTGAAGAATTGGCCGCCACTATTCAGCCTGGTCTACACCACACAGCTATGAAGTGGCTTTTTCTGGCCAGTGAATCCCTACTTTTTGGTCTTTTTTATTTATTTTTTACACACACACACACACTGTGTATAAGATAGCCAAGCTGCAACTCACTCGTTCCCGCCAGGGCACGGGCAGGCCATTATGTTGAGAAACGATGGCTTTATACGCAGCCTTCCACTGCAAGAATGGCAGAAGAATGAAAACATGAGAACTGTATTTCTCCTCACCGAAACTCACACATGTGCCTTATCGAGTGCAAGCAGAACAGATTCATTGTCGGACAGATACCGACTGCACACTGTAGTCAGGTAATGAAGCTACCGGGCAGATACTAGTATGACCACATGCTCCTTGTGCTCTCTCACTGATCATCTTGATGTGTCAGCAGGCTGTCACTGGAAGCAATTCTATAAAACTTGTCAAGTGCATCTGTGATTTCCAACATGCAACCTGAGGCCAATGCATGCTAGAGAGCTAGACACAGTAACACAACACACCAATGCATGCTAGAGAGCTAGACACCGCCACACTAGACATTACTGTCTGTAACTCTGTACATGTTGTGTACCTGACCAAAGCTCTCCTCAGTGCCAAGCGGGGCCAGCGAGAAACGCAGCTGACTGTCCTCACCTGCAGTACATGATCAACAGACAACACAGTCAGTCATACTCTTACTCAATGTAAAATACAGGCCTGCCCATGCTGCTGCAGGAGCATCCACACAATGAATTCTTAGCCTGAGTAAGTGTGCACGTGGATTTGCGGAAACTTATTTCTCCGAAAACAGAAAAAAACTTCGCGACCTTTCTTATGCATATTCTACGGAGCTAATGTGATCAAGAAATTTGGCTCAGTGCCAGTGGGAACAAAATCATTCACGACAATGAGTCTCACTCGGAGTCACCATCAATTCTTCAGAGCTTGACTCACCAGAACTGACAGGTCAATCGAACTGTCACAAAGTTTTTTTGTTTTGTTTCCGGAGGAAGTACTTGTAGAAGCATGGCATCATACATAGAAGTATGACATCATACATAGAAGTATGACATCATACATAGAAGTATGACATCATAATGTAGAAGTATGATACCATACCTGCTGAATGCAGACAGTAGAGAGGTTAAGTTACACGTTTTTTGCCCTTTTTCAAAACGCGGTGCAAATCTCACGTTACGTGTAATTTTTAGAGGTTACGTTACACGTGCGACGTGACGTGAAATTTTGCCTGGCAGGATTCGGGTTTAGTTCGCACAAATATCAAATCTTCAAACAAACTTGATAAATTTCGATAACATTCCGGAAACTCACACAAATTCGGTCGGAATAACCAAGCGAAACTTCCAAAAACTCACGTCATGAACTTACGTGCGGGACACTCAACTCACGTAAAACACGTCAAATTTTACGTGAGTTTTTTCACTTTTTGACGTAAAAGTTCACGGACGTAAGACTTTTACGTGAAACTTAACCTCTCTAGTAGAATGTTGATTACCCGAACGGGATTAAAATGAATTACTTGTACTTACGTCGCTTCTCGGAGAATGCCTGCAGTGTAGCCGTAACCAGTTCACAGTTAGCCTGCACCTTCTGCTCACTCCTATTCCTACGCTTGAGTGCACTGATGAGCTTCACAGAAAGTTCTGTTATCCTTGCTCGCATATCAGCTGCCAGCTCTTGTAGTTCATCGATATCTAATTGAAGAGTGCACAGTTACAATAACACAACACAAACATGCAGTGCTAGTTAGATAGGGTACGTCCAAAACACATTGCTCTAATCAAGAACAGAACAGGACACAGAACAGGACACAGAACAGGACACAGAACAGGACACAGAACAGGACAACAATGGTGTCCGTGCTCCTCAGGCTGCCATCTGCATTGCTGGAATGTGTACGCTGCAGCAGTATTTTTATGTCCGATTGGCCTTCATGGGGGGTGTCCCTGGGGTACTCTTCGCCTCAGCTCACTCTCTAGTGGCAAATCAGTAGCTGCACACTGCACACTGCATACTGCACACTCCATACTGTGCACGGTGTACCTGTATACCAGGCAGTAGCTGTGTCCGACCAAAGTATCCATTCGCCATGTCCGAGAAATGACGAAGGAAGTAATTTGCAGACTACAGTACATGTAGCGGGTCGTACTGTTAAATTCTGCCGATATTTGAATGTGCAACATCTGGAAGAACCAGGCGTTAGAAGATGGCCAGGCGTATCACTATTCTTGTCTATACAGTAGAGTCGTGCGCCGAAGAACGCGGGGCCCAAGGACGTCCAGCCTGAAATGCTAAGAACGCCACAGCCTTTGAAAAAGTTAAGAACGGCAGTGATGGTTTTCCGGCAGCTTTTGGGATAGATAATTATGATCCAGTACGAATTGTTTCTAAGGACGTGCTATGATAAGAACGCAGCCGGATTGCTGGAAAATAAGAACGCCCTAGGCTAACCCCTTGGAAACAACGTTCTTGGATGCCCGACTCTACTGTACGTGGTGGTGACATGCTTGGGAGGTGTGTTTACGAAGTGACATGCTTGGGAGGTGTGTTTACGAAGTGACATGCTTGGGAGGTGCGTTTACGAAGCCATCTGTACAATAGCGATGCAAGCTAGCTCCACTGTCCTCTCATGCACACAGGCAGGCACCCTGCACAAGATACTACTGCTGCGAGGCGATGCATGTTGAGCGGTGATGTGCCATTTCAAATAATCACAACATCAAGGTCTCCTGCGATACACTCTGCACGCCACGGTAAATACATGTCGCAGCGAAATCGCACGCAATCCCAAATCTCAAGTCAGCCAGAAAGTGATGGTCTTGTGGTCATAAGCCTTATGCACGTTGTACATATGTACGAAATCCAGTAAAAGCCCGTAGACCCGGTTGGGTGCTCAATGTGCAGATCCTATTGTTTTCTGTTGCAGGTATTCCCAATACGAAACGCAGCCTGAGTGCATTTCACACGAAAACCTTTTTTGGACGAAGATCTAGCTAGTCATTTATCTCTATTCAAAGTGATGAAGCTGGAAAGGCGATAGTCCGCCATTGATTATTGGGCTAAATAGGTCAAATGTGCATGTATAGCGCACAACGAACACCCAACCGGGCATGTACCATATTTCCCCGAGTGTAAGTCGCACCTTTTTACACTAAACGTCAACGGCGAAGAAGGGGATGTGACTTACAATCGAGTGTGACTTCCTACTTGTACGAATGTATTGAAACAATTTGGCCCGGGCCTGAAAATGGTGAATGGGCAGCGACTTATAATTGGGGAATTACGGTGCACGCCTACGGGAATTTGTCCATCTGTACATCGTACATACGGATCATTGCCTGTTACTCCTCCATACAAACAGCATGCATGGGGTCATTACGTGATTGTATGTTTGTGGTCCTGGCGTCCAGAATGTGTCAGAGCAAGAGTACATAACCCCCCAGAGTGTGCAACGCCGATCCAGCTCTGTGTAGGGTCTTGGTCGAGCGGAATCGGATCTTCTGATGTCATGCGTACACTTCACACCAGCGCAAGGCCGGTCTCGAGGCAGGGCACCATTGTTTTTGATCCAAGAGTACCCGCGACTCCCCGGGTTCCCCTCAGATGTGTACGGTATTATGACGCAAAGATCCGATTCCGCTCGACCAAGACCCTATGCAGAACTGGATCAGGCGTTGCACACTCTGGGGGGTTATGTACTCTTGGTCAGAGGGATTACATTATGCCCCTGCTGATAACACGACTCTCCAATGAGTCAAAATGACTCAAATCCCAGTCATTCTAGATAGGACTAGTGTATTGCAGGGCTAGCTATCAGTATCAACCACGTGCGCTAGGTTACCACGTGTGCGCTGAGATCCCTACCTTTTGATTCCAAGTAGGCTTTGCTGGCAACTATGGCAGATGTTTGGTTGGTATCCGGGCCATCAATCACTATCGTGGTCTTTCCCTCATTGTCTCCCAGTATTGAACTGGACTCGGCAGAGCATTCAGTGAAATAGGCATGGCCAGACGATGCCTCGGCCTGGCCGAATGGGTCATGGTAAATTTCCGCCAGCAAGCCGTCAACGATGGAATTCTTGCTCAGTCCACCGCCGCTTAGGGCAGCCGTTTTAGCGCTCTCTGCGACGCCGCTAGAGGTGCCTTTCCGCTGCTCCTGTCCGGGACTGACACTCGCGCCGCTACTATCGTTCTCGGCCTCAGCACCGCTCCAGTCGCTGTCCTCCACGCTAGAGGCAGAAGCAGCTGCAGCACAGGGGCCATCCTCTTTCTCCGTCTGGCTCTCGCCTTCGCTATCACCGTCCATCATGCGTTCTTGATACATTGATGGCAGTGGTGGCAAGACATTCCTGGTGGCTACTTGCAGCTTGTGTGTAGTGCGACAGGTTGCCGTGTACCAGTCAGTGATACATGATTATTCCAGACGACACGGGGTTGGAGAATTTGTGCAAACAATTTTTCAATGAAAAAGACCCTCACCAGCTACTTTTCTAGTGCAGTGGCATCCAGGGAGAAAGGAAAAGCGTGGTCGTTATGACAGAATACGGTGCAAGTGCAAAGACGCTTTCCGTCACTAAACGTTGCCACCATGTACCAGCAAGCGTCGCCAGCCTAGCTAGCGCCAGAACAAATAAAGCTAACACGAATACTGGGTGGACAACAGACACGAGCAGCGCCCCGAAACGCAGGGGTGGTATCAATGAAAGAGATAGCAACTCTCATCGACAACCCTAGACCTAGACTCCTAGTACTACTACACCGTCTACAGTGACACTGACAGCTTGGGCTTCGACATAAGCACCAGTCCTTTCCGGTCTGCATTCGCAGTTTTCAGTCTTTCGTCGTTTTGACACAGAATCGCGCGTAGATCTCCGGCGGTAGCGGCCGGCATGCGTCCTGTCCATGATCGATATGACTGTGCACAGTACGGACTCACTTCAATCTCACACGACTTCTTTATCATGTTTATCTTGTGAAGTAGTAACTGTGTATGATACTGAACCATGTGAACAGTCTCAGTCTGGCCTCTGGGTTAGGCCTAGGCTATAGCCCAAATTTGCCGGCAATTCTTCCAGCAAAATATCGAATTTTCCAACGAAAAGAAATTGCTGGCAAATTCCGAGCAAAATATCGAATTTACAGAGGATCCGGGTGTGTTTTGGCAATTTTATTCAAATTTCTTTGGTTTCATTGGGCGAACGTTGTGCTGAAATAGCTCGTGCAGGCTGTCATCAGTGGGACATACATTTGAAATCATGCTACCAAATCCGTAATACTGACACCATTATAAGTTTTGCTTTCCTCATCAGAGTCACCATCCACTTTTACCAAAGTAGACGGTTCATTCGAAGCCATTTTTGCCACAAAGCAGGAGCAAAATTTCGGAAACGAAAGGCAATGCCTAGCAAAATATGGAAAGTGATCGGGCAAAATTTGCCGGCAAAATATCGAAGCGCCCCGAGCAAATTTGGGCTATACAGTTTTGTAGGCCTACTCTAGCTCTGGGTCATGTATGACCAAGAGTACATAACCCCCCGGGTGGTTATGTACTCTTGGTATGACTACTACAGTCCATTCATAAAAAAATGGGTCCTGGCTCTGGCGAGCTCCCGTATTTGGCGATTTTTCGTGATTTCATCGTACACAGTGCAGTGCTGCGAACTTTGAAATTTGAAAAGGGTCCAAAAAGGGTGCCTGAACTGGGGTTCGAACCGCAGAATGCACTGTTGCAGGCGGGGTCAAACGGCCTGGATTTTGATGGTTTTTCCCAATTCAGTGCTTTTGGGGCAAAACCTGGCCGAAATCCTATTCTTGCTATGGCTTGCTTTTTGGACAAAAAAACTTCAGAAACATAATTGGAAGAGGATTCCATATGGGATTGCAGAAAAAAATTCTAAAAAAACTCAACGTTTGACCCATTTATGGCCAAAAGCTAGAAGTTCATTTTTTTCTGAATGGACTGTAGACTAGTACCAAGAGTAGATAAACTACTCTTGCTAGTACCGGTATGTGTAGTGCTAGAACGTGTCACGTGTACGCGTGTGAGTATTTTACGACTCCCTGCCTGGCTAGTGCAGCTAGCCCTGTAGTACTCGTCCATGTTTACTTCCGTGTTTCCTCGATTCCACGTACAGTAATCAGTTTCTGCTCGTATCGAATGATTCGATCTACACCGCAAAAAATATTATTGTGGTTGAGTCCAGGACCATGGCCTAGCCGCCTAGGATCGGATCCATGTCCAGCTGAATGAAGACTCCACTACCTGCTACTGTAGCTGACCCGCAGCTGCTGTTTTGCTAGATAGTAGTACAGGGTCAGTCATGTCACGAAAGTCAATGGTGGGATAAAGAATCTTATTAATATTAGACTGCGCTAAAGACACACCTCACTCCTCACCTGGCCAGACGAAATGAAAAATACACGCCTGCAAAACGTTGCAGGACTGAGGTTACAATTGCTTTCCAGCTGCACCCTAATTAAATGTCCGGTCCCAAGCAGGGACCCCCCCCCCCCCATCTACACATACCGGTATGTGTAGGGGGGGGGGGGGTACCCTGGTCCCAAGATTAGTGCAGGATTAGGACAGGTACATGCACGCCATTGCAAGTCAGTAACCATGGTTACAACCAGGAAAATTAGTACACGAACAATACATACGTCCAAGAGCAAACCTGAGCCATGTTGAAAACAGAGAGTTAGCAAGATAAATTAATTAGAACGTTGAGCTAAAAAAAGCAAGACGTCCAAGAACATAGTGCAATGTCAAGAGAGATAGCATCACCGACACCCTGCATATATCTGCAGGATGAGGCACGGCCAGAGAGGGAGGGAGGGAGAGAGAGAGAGAGAGAGAGAGAGAGAGAGAGAGAGAGAGAGAGAGAGAGAGAGAGAGAGAGAGAGAGAGAGAGAGAGAGAGAGAGACAGAGAGAGAGAGAGAGAGACAGAGAGAGAGAGAGAGAGAGAGAGAGAGAGAGAGAGAGAGAGAGAGAGAGAGAGAGAGAGAGAGAGAGAGAGAGAGAGAGAGAGAGAGAGAGAGAGAGAGAGAGAGAGAGAGAGAGAGAGATAGAGAGAGATAGATAGATAGAGAGAGAGAGAGAGAGAGAGAGAGAGAGAGAGAGAGAGAGAGAGAGAGAGAGAGAGGAGAGAGAGGGGGGAGAGAGGGGGAGAGAGAGAGAGAGAGAGAGAGAGAGAGAGAGAGAGAGAGAGAGAGAGAGAGAGAGAGAGAGAGAGAGAGAGAGGGGGGGGGGAGAGAGAGAGAGAGAGAGAGAGAGAGAGAGAAAGAGAGAGAGTTGGACCGTGACATCAAGGCAGGGTGCACTGTGAAGGCCAACAAAGCTAGAAAAAAGAACTAGCCCAGCAATGCCACTAAAATAAGTCTGGAACAGTTCAAAATACATACTCACTGAACTACACGACAAGTTAGTATGTGCTGTGCAGAACTGTGGTAGCATTGCCTAAAAATAGAGAAAAGCAGGGTTAAGGAAAAGTGGCTGATGATGATGATGATGAAAACGATGGTCACCAACAGTGTTGGGACGTGCTAAAACAGGTTTGATTTGACATGAGTTGGTTACCGATGCAGAGCCCACAGCTCTTTCGGCATCGTAAGTTATAGACTAGATTTCTACACGGCAGAGGTGTTGGTGCTGCTGCTGCTGGTGCTGGTGGTCATTGTAATACTGACAGCGACATACATAACCCAATGATAACGGTCTCAAGTAGTTCAAAAACAATGAAAACATGGCTTGAAAGTGTGTTTCGTGCTTCAGATGCAGGCCAGTGGGTTTCAAGTCAAGCAATGTGTAATGGGAATGCTTACTTGTCAACCGATGAGAAGTGCAGTAAGCCAGTTTGACAGTCATAGTCCACAAGGAGAGTGAAAACAGACACGGTAATATCTAGCAGTTTCACTAGTGCTGTACTGTACTGCAACATTAATGACATGTTGTTGTTGTTGTTGTTGTTGTTGTTCTTGCTACTGCTGTACAAGCAGAGGCTACTACTACGTTCATACTACATACAGAACAGGAGAGGCGACGGTAGTGGTGGCGGCACTAGCAGTGGAAGCAGTGCCTGCCACGTCACCCATGCGAACACACGATCTCCGGGCAGGATCTAGAACTCCTCGCTCTCGCTGGTCTCCTCTTGCTGCAGTTTCTGAAACTCCCCAGCGCCGCCGTTGGCCTTGCCATTGCGCTTGGCCATGCGGACGAGCTTGCGGAGCGGCGTCTCTTTGGGCCCACGACTCTGTCTCTGACGGCGATTACAATACTGAACGCTGGCCACGAGAAGGATCAAGAGTAGAATGCAGCTGACGAAAGACAACAGGAACACCACACCGATGTTGATCGTGTCAGCATCATGCAGTAAGCTATAGGCAGTGGTGGCTGGCAGTGCCTGCACTGTGTTGGTCGTCGTCCGGTCGTCATCGTGCTCGTGCTGGATAGCCGGCGCATGCGTTGCACTTCTTGTCACTACCGTTGTATGAGAGTCTACAGGTTGTGTCACTTCATTGGTAACACGGTGCACTGATGCTGGTGATGCCGACAGCAGTGCTATGTTCATGTTGTTAGAATCATGCGGTACAGAAGCAACGCTAGCAAGGGGATCTGCACTGCTGGTTTCAGACAGACCACCGGCCGCAACATCAGCAAGGCTCTGCTTGGGAAATGCTGCCGCGGTCTCGGACGGCATACGGGCTTCAAGTGGCGACGTTTCAACCATCGTGTCAAAAGGCACTGCTGACGGGGTCGGTGTTGGAGAAGCAGACACGGCGGGTGTAGTATCTGCTGCGGGGTCAGCACCATCGGTTTCAACTTGCGCTGTAGGAAGCATATCGGTTGGCAATCGCTGGGCGCTTGTCTGCACGGCTAAAGTGTTTGTAGGAACATCAGTTGTTGCTGTTGTTGTTCTGGCCTGTGGGCTGGTGGTCTGCCCTGCAGTAGAAGTGGGCAGTACGGTTGTTTCTGCCTGCACCGTTGTTGTCTGTGCCGCTGTTGTCCACACGGTAGAAGTCGGAGGCATTGTCGTGGCGGGAGGTTCGGTTGTCGCCTGCACTGGCGACGACGATGTCAGAAACTGCTCAGACAGCTCAGTGTGACTGCTAGCGGTGTCTTGCAGGCTAGACCCTGACTCGTGCTGCAGCTGCTGTTGTGCTGAAGTCAACACACCAGTGGTGGGTGCAGCATCACTAGAAGACATGGTGCTACTGTCTGGTGACTGGCTACCCTGTGCTGACGACGACGACGTACCCAAGCCACCGCTGGGACTGGCTACGTTAGTGTTGCTAAACTTCCAGAGAAGATCTGGGCCAATCTCACCCACGAACACCGAACCATCATTTGCAACTGTCATGGTATGTGGTTTAGAGAAACTCTACATGCACAACAATGATAGCAATCACAACGACAGCAGCAGCAAAAACAGCATGAACACATGGCAATAAGCATTTTTCCAATTATAAAGTGGACTCAATGCAAGAAATTCTTTGCTAGATGAGCCTAAGCTGATGTCCAATACACACACACAGTTTCCAGAAGTATTTCAAGTTAACTTCACATCTGCAGAAGCAGTTCAACCTCACATCTGCAGAAGCAGTTCAACCTCACATCTGCAGAAGCAGTTCAACCTCACATCTGCAGAAGCAGTTCAACCTCACATCTGCAGAAGCAGTTCAACCTCACATCTGCAGAAGCAGTTCAACCTCACATCTGCAGAAGCAGTTCAATCTCACATTTGCAGAAGCAGTTCAACCTCACATCTGCAGAAGCTGAACACAGGTATTGGTAGGGCCGTTTCTTTCATCATTCATTCGAGGATACGAGAAAGATGAATTAAGGCATACATGCATGCGATACTAGCTCAGTGGCAATGGAGCAATAACTGACCCGCCAAAGAGAGATACATGTACTGAAATTTCACAAATTTTCGGTGCTCAATATTTTCGGTATGAGGGCAAACAGGCCTAGGTTAGGTGAACAGAAATTTTCGGTACAGAGAAGCAGTTCCCATAATACAATAGGGAACTGCTTCTCTGTACCGAAAATTTCTGTTCACCTAACCTAGCCTGTTGCCCTCATACCGAAAATATTGAGCACCGAAAATTTCTGAAATAAGAGTACACACAGACACACACAGTCATGGCAGACACACGGACAGACACACGGACAGACACACGGACAGACACACACAGACACACAGACACATACAGACACACATACACACACAGACAGACACACATACAGAAACACATACAGACACACATACAGACACACAGACAGACACACAGACAGACACACAGACAGACACACAGACAGACAAACACAAAGACGCATGCATCCATGCACGGACACAAAGACAAACGCAGACAAACACAGACAAACACATACACACACACGTACACACACCCATCAATAAGCCTCTGTCTGACCTTGCCCACGCCAGGAGACCAGCGGTTGAGGACTGTCTTGGTGCCTGGCAGCAATGTAAAGCCCTGTGCCCTGCTGTTCGTAGTGTTCGCCTTCACTGCGTACAGATAGCCCTCTGGATCTGTGGGTAGCAGCATGACAACACATGCACAAACACACACACGTACACACAAACACACACACATACACACGTGCAATACACACACACACATATACATGTGCGCAAACACACGTACACACGTGCATGCACAAAATTCACACACACACACACACACACACACACACACACACACACACACACACACACACACACACAAACACACACACACACAAACACACACACACACACACACAACACACACAAACACACACGCACACGCACACACACACACAACATTTGCCTACATCAGTCTTTATGCTGTACAGCAGTAGAAGCAGCAGCAGTATGAGTAGTAGCGGTAACAGAAACAATATTGATGTGAGGCAAAACAAATAAGATGGCTACTCAGTCAAACCAGAACGCGTTAAAGGGGAAGTATACCCTAAAATCAAATTTTCACCAGTTAGAGTCTTCTGGGTGCTGAGTCGAATGGTCTTGGTCCGAGGAAGCTGCGACGCTCTCTTCCTTCTTTTTTCCCAATCGAACCCGCGCACTTCCACCGAAACTGGGTGACTGCGCCCTACTAGATGGGGATTTGTATGCAAAATGTCACTAAAAGCGCCATTTCGTTCTTATAAAAGCACGGATGACCGCGATTGGCGCATATGTTGTAGTCTTTTGGACGCTGAGTCGACTGGTTTTGGTCCGAAAAGGCTGCGATGCAGCGTTCCTCCTTTATTCCCAATCGAACATGGTTGAGCACGTGGTCACGTGCTCCTGGGTGCCCAAATCACCTGGTCACCGCGCTAGCAGGCGACAACTTTCACACCAAGGTTCAACTCGAGTTGAACTCGAGTGACAGGACTGCACCCAAAAAAGGTCAAACAGGCTAGTAAGTTGTACCCTGCAGGCACGGTGACCAGGTGACTGGTGTACGCAGGAGCACGTGACCGCTTCTTCAACCATGTTCGATTGGGAATAAAGGAGGAACGCTGCATCGCAGCCTTTTCGGACCAAAACCAGTCGACTCAGCGTCCAAAAGACTACAACATATGGGCCAATGGCGGTCATCCGTGCTTTTATAAGAACGAAATGGCGCTTTTAGTGACATTTTGCATACAAATCCCCATCTAGTAGGGCGCAGTCACCCAGTTTCGGTGGAAGTGCGCGAGTTCGATTGGGAATAAAGGAGGAAGGGAGCGTCTCAGCTTCCTCGGACCAAGACCATTCGACTCAGCACCCCGAAGACTACAACTGGTGAAAATTTGATTTTAGGGTATAATAATAATAACGAGAGAGCTTGGAAGCTCAGGGCCCTGCGCTATGCTTTGTTGCCTAGCTCATCGTGCATGTTGTTAGAACTGATGGAAACGTTTTTTTCCTTTGATTAGCTACTTCATTGTATTGCAAAAACGTTTCAATGAGTTACTGAAGTAACGTCTTCTGCATAGCTATGGGACCGGCGCTGACTCTGCCGATCACGGGCGTTCTGGAGTCGACGGGATGTCTGTCCTGCCGTTTCCTGGGACCGGCGCTGACTCTGCCGACCACGGGCGTTCGTCTTCTTCTTCTTATTATACTGACGGCAACTAACATCCATTCTAATTGCATTTACTCGTCTCCCTACTTCGTATTTCTTTCCAGAAAATCTCCCCATACAGCAGGGAGTCGTTTACATAATATGACTCCCTGCTATACATCTACATGACTGTATACACGTTATAATTATTATGCTATCGGCCTACATGCGATTCCCGGGCTGTTCGACAGGCGGCCCAGCCAGCCTGCTAGTGGGATCTCGGCCTCGCACACAAATCCACACAAAATGGTACTGCACTGAATGCATTCCCCGATACACTTCGCATATATACTCATTCTCTTGATGGTACCGTACACTTGATGGTACGGGACAGGTACGGGATAGCGCCAGGCATGCCGATGGCACAAACAAACAAAAATATTGTGGCCAGCTGTCTTTGTTGGTACGGTACGGTACGGGACAGATACAGGATAGCGCCAGGCGTGACACAAACAAACAAACAAACAAACAAACAAACACCAAATTAAAGCTGTGTGGACCCTGGCTAGCGCCAGACGTTACTGAAGTAACGTCTTCTGCATAGCTACGGGAATAATGTCCTAGGTGTAATGTACTGCTGTTATGTGTTATCACGTTGTCTTTCCTTCATTTCTCCTTTGTTCATTTCTCGCTTTGATTGTTAAAATTCACACTTGTAAATTTCACTGCTGTTGCTCTTAGTGGTATTTCTCTAACTGTCATTATTATTTGAATCCATACATCCTGTACACACACCTTGTACACACTCTCTCTAACGGTCTCTAGGCTACACTGCAATTGATATACATTAGATCAAATTTTCGGGCAAGGCCCATCATCAGGAATAAGTCTACTGTAGACAAAACAGGGGTTTATATATATGTGACAAGTACTAGTGGCCAAAGGTGTGATGGTATAGCGTAAAATGTTGCAATACCACAGGAAGAGAGAATATTCTGTGTGATATGTATTAAGTGAAAATATAGTGCAGTGATAGTGCAAGATTACTAGTGTGAGTGCAAAGCAGAAAAATACACACTTATAGCAACACTCACGCACATACATACACACACACACACACACAGTGCACACATTCTTGCACAAATTATGACAGATATATTTACACGTCACCCAACAGTCGCCAACCATTGTCACTGTTCACTGCAGGCTTCCTCTTCCTCATGAATAGTGCCTCCATGATTCTGCGGTCAACGTATGACCGTTGCCTGCTGGCGAGAACTTGTAGATGGGAAAACGGCGAGAACCGCGGTGACGATGGGAAGGTGTGCTGCTTTTGTCGATAATGGTCTCCCCATGGCTTTCCCAGTGTCGCGTTCTTGGCTTGTCTGTAGTGCTCCTCAGTCCTCTTGCGTGTTGTCCTTTCTGTTTCCCCGACGTATTCTTCTTGACAGATGGTACATTTCATAGAGTACACCACATCTTGGGACATACAAACATCACGCTTCAGACCACCATCGCATGCACGACATTCAGCCGGCCGACCCCGCCCCCTCTTCTCCCTCTGCTGCTGTACCATCCTGGGGCATCGTGGCTTGCTGAATGACGACGAGACCAACATATCCTTTAGTGAGCGACCAGACGTAAAGACCACACGCACATCTCTATCAAACGACCTGACCACTTGACGAACCCTCCTTGCAAGCTGGTCATTTACGTACGGTACCTTGACAAGTGACGTGTACTGTCGTTTCGCCTTCCGGTGTGGTGTCTGCTGGTGGGGCTGCTCTCGGATGCGTGCGGTTGTCCGTGCGGTGTTGGAGTGTTGAATGGCTGATTGTATAATGCGTCGTGGGTAGTGGTTCTCAAGGAGGAGTGTGGTGATCTTTTTAATCCCCCGTTGTCGTCCTGCCTCCGTTGTTGCGTTGTTGACTGCCCTGCGGATCTGGTTGTTGGCGACAGCGATTTTTGTTTCCATTGGCAAAGCAGACAAATATGACAAATGTACACCACTATGGGACGACTTGACAAATAACTCCCAGTCCAACTTGCCACCTGACACCGAGATTGACAGGTCCAAGTAACTGATGGTGTGAGAGTTGGTCGTTTGTGTATATTCTGCGGTGAATTGTATGCGTGGGTGGCGGGAATTGAGATAATCAACAAATGCCAGAAATGCTGCAATACCAAAGATCCAAACGAGTATGCAATCATCAATATACCGACGATATAAGAGCGGTTTCAGGGGATACTCAGACAGGGCACGTGACTCGAATTTCGACATAAAGATAATAGCCAATGGGGGCGCGAGGTGGTTGCCCATAGCTAGACCCTGCTGTTGTCGATAGATGGCGCCGTCAAATTCAAAGAAATTTGACTCGAGGACAAACATGAGCATTTCGCGTATGTCTGATAATGACAAGGCGAACATATCAACCGATTCCTCATGCTCTTCTAATAACTCCATGGCCGCATCGATGCTTTCTTGAATAGGAATATTCGAGTACAATGACACAACGTCCAGAGACGCTACAATGCATTCCTCTGGGAGGTTTTCGAGGTTGCGCATCGCCGTCATGCAATCTTCAGTACTCGATAAATGTGCAGGCACGAATGGAAGCAATTGTGTAAGAATGCGCTCAAGCAGAAGTGAAATACTGCTGGTCGGGCTACCGCATGTCGATACCACGGGGCGGAGTGGGAGGCCAGGCTTGTGGTCTTTGGGGAGTCCATAGAAGGTGGACATTCGCGAGTTGTGTGGCTTCAGTGCACGAGTGAGTGGTGGTGGGATTTTTCCGGTAGTAATGTCCTCTGCTATCCCAGCAGATGTCTTGTCCAGTTCGTTCACGGTAATATCAGACCTCTCGTAGTTGACCTCACTGCTGAGCATTTGTTCAATTTTGGACATGTAGTGTGTTTTGGCCATGACAACAAACCCCTTACTCTTGTCGGATGGCTTGATTATGATGCTTTTGTTCTCACGTAGGTCTCTGATCATCGTTTGTTCTTTTCCCGTCAGATGTCGAAGTGGGGTCTTCTGGGGCGCTGTCATTGTCATCTCCCTCCTGTACAGCATAGTGAGGTTCTCCCGGAGCCTTCTCATTTTTCCTTCCTCTTCCCTTTCCATAAGTGGTGGCTGTTTCTCCGTCGTAGCTATTTTCCTCAGCTTCGGATCTTTTCGCAACGGTTTCATGTTTTCATCCTCTTTTTCCCTTTCTCTTTGTATTGGCTACAGTGGAGTCTCCAAACCTTGAGAAAAGTGTCATTATTATTTATTAATAATAATAATAATAATGACAGTTCGCAAATCACTCATTGCATGAGGTCAACGCATCTGTTAACAATTTCGAGCCAAGCAGCTCTATCAGAAGCAGATTGCACAGCATCCAGAAGCGACAGATTAGGGTATACTTCCCCTTTAATTAAATGAAAAAATAGTACAGGTCAGACCTCGCTATAACGTAATCTCTGGGGTATGGGAGAAATTATGTTATAGCGAGGTTTATGTTATACTGAGTTGGGCACACCAATATACAATATGTATGTCAAAATGACGCTCTTCACTTACTGATTACAACTGTACTGTTTTACATACAAGTATGATGATGCCTAGCAAAGATGTGCACATGTGTACAGGCTTGTCAGCAAAGGGGTGACAAGAGCCATGTAGTGCGTGTACTTGTACATGTGAGTCGTGATGTGACGATTAGAGCCTATAAAAAGTAATGGGAGTAGTAAAATACCGGTATTTTACTACTCCCTGCTTCCGAGGTGGACGGCTCAGTCTCGAATTCGTCGCGAGAAGGCATGCATGCCGTGTACATAGTCATTTTTATACGAGTTTTTACGTTATGCTGAGGTCTCCGTGCGCCCGGGACCCAGCAAACAGTGCGTTATAGCGAACATTACGCTATAGCGGATTATGTTATAGCGAGGAAATTTTGTACAGAAGTGATGCGGTTTCGGCAGGGACATTCACATTTGTACGTTATAGTGAGGTTTATGTTATAGCGGGGGTCGTTATAGCGAGGTCTGACCTGTAGTGCAACTTTCCCCCAAATTGATGCATAGTAGTGTACACAATAGTTTTACTGCTGTGCTGTGCAATGTAGCGTAGTACAAGTAGCAGCTTACGAACTATTTTTGAATGGCATGTGTTTGAAGAGTACTGTGTATGCCAAGTACTGTAAAACGGGTAACTATTGCGACGTAAAAATGTTTGTGAATTTTGTGAGAGGCCCCGAATCGCAAACTTTGAACAACGCAAACTCGTGCCATGTAAAGTTCAGTGCAAGGACTGACTCGACTGCGTAGAACGACTGTAGAACGACTCGCAAACATTAAACAGCGCAAGCCAGTCTCAATTTGTAAAACGCAAACGTTACCCGTTTTACAGTACTGTAATGACGGCACTAGGCCGGAGAGGCTATTACGAACACTGCGAATGTCATCACTTCAGTACATGCGTGCACACACAGCAATGCTTGGTACGTACTCTTGCTAAACGCAATGGAGAAGACGCGGCCGCCGAGTTCTGCGGGCGTGTTTACAGTCATCAGCTGGCCAGTGTGCGGGTTGTAGCAGAGAATGCGCCCATTCTCCCGGTCGGCAACGCACAGACGATCGCCCTTAGCATTCAAGGTCAGCGCATGGGGTATGTGAAAAGCAAGCTTCATACCTGAATTGGAAAGAAAAAGCAGCACGAGCGCAAACACCACCGCAACAAAACAAAGGTAAGTCTGAGAAAGCGCAGTGGCATGACCACACATGATACGATCAGGGTTTCCACAGAGTGTACAACTGTACGACGTCATGTTGCTAATAGTACTGCACATGATACGATCAGGGTTTCCACAGAGTGTACAACTGTACGACGTCATGTTGCTAATAGTGCTGCACTGCCATACAGCAGTCATGTCACCATGGCTTGGCGAACTCATTGCATGGTGGATCAATGCATACAATAAGATGTACCAACAGCAGCAGCAGCAGCAAGCTGTAGTACTTCAGACGAGCAGAGTGCACATGCCACTCTACATGTACAACAGAGCTGGAAGGTAACCAGCACGAGTACGTACGTATAAATCGTGCGCGAATTGTGAATAAACCTGTCGAGCAAAACCGGTGTTGCATTGTTTTAAGATCTGCGACGCACTAAAAGTACCCTTGAAAGCGCTATAGACTCGTTTCGTCCAGAAAACTTGTACAAATGACGTCACAATGACACACGGGTGCACATGGCTACACAGTGGAGGTGTATACACATGTTTACTGCTTGCAGTCCTAGTTGCGTAGCAGTGAGACGGATGGCCAATGCGGAAGCGGTGCGTACTTACGTGGTGGCTGCCGTACAAGACCACGGTGATCCCACTCGCGCAGGAATCGACCCTGGCTGTTGAACTTCATTATGCGCTGGTTGCAGTAGCTGCCAAATCGCCCACACATGCACGTACATCATGTGCACACACACACACGCGCGCACACACACATGCACACACACGCGCGCACACACACATGCACAGTGACACACACACGCGCACACACATGCACACACACACACACACACACACACACGCGCACACACACGCACACACACACGCACACACACGCACACACGCACACACACACACACATACACACGCACACACACACACACACATACACACACACACACACACACATGCACACACACACACACGCACACACACGCACGCACACACACACATGCACACACACGCACGCACGCACGCACGAAAAGGATTTTAGAAATACCGGTAAAGAGTTTCTTTTTTTCTTTCTTTTTTAAAGTTAGCCACTCTGTGCAAGATGTTTCCATTCAGGCATACATGCAAATATCTATTGCAAATCAGCAGCTGGCCTGGCCTGGCCTGAAAACGAACCATTAATAATAATACTTGAAATTGCGTTCGATCCCCCCATTCTATAGTAGATGTACTTCAATTCTTTGATGTGCTAACGTTATACTGTAACACCAGTAATGTTAACGAACATTTGATTCTAACGAGTTAACGAATTTGAAATAATCGTTAACATTTGAAGTCGTTATGTGCAAAACGATATGTACATGTACAGTCATTTGCCGGTTTTGAGACAGAATTCGTTAGAATTTGACCTGGCTAACCCACAAAATCCGGAGATCGTTAACTTAATAATTGACGTTAAAATAACTGGTCTTACAGTATCACAGGTGGGCTAAGTACGTGTACATGTTAAGTTGTTAACCCAACACTTGTAGTGCACATCACATGCATATGGATTACCAACACCAACATCAGCATGACTGAGAAGTGAGAACCAATGGCCACAAAAAAAAGAGAGGGACAAATCACCGGTGAACCAGCAACTGAGGTAGCGGCAGCAGCACCAGCAGCCACAAAGACAACAGCACCCATACATGTATAAGCATGACTGAGAAGCACACAGCGACAAATCACCGGTGAAACAGAAACCGTGGTGGCGGTCGTGGTAGTGGCAGCAGCAGCAGCATCCACAAAGGCAACACTACCAATATCTCTTACCCATCATCCACAAAGACAACACTACCAATATCTCTTACCCATCATCCAAAAAGACAACACTACCAATATCTCTTACCCATCAGCCACAAAGACAACACTACCAATATCTCTTACCCATCAGCCACAAAGACAACACTACCAATATCTCTTACCCATCAGCCACAAAGACAACACTACCAATATCTCTTACCCATCAGCCACAAAGACAACACTACCAATACCTCTTACCCATCAGCCACAAAGACAACACTACCAATATCTCTTACCCATCAACCACAAAGACAACACTACCAATATCTCTTACCCATCAGCCACAAAGACAACACTACCAATATCTCTAGACTCTTACCCATCAGCCACATAGACGTAGCCATGGGCATCGACTACGACGTCCGCTGGCTTGCAGAAGTGTTCCGTATCATCATCTGGGATGAACCGCTCACCCAGCGTGAGAGAAGGCCGTCTTAGGTTATTCGGAGAAAACATCATGACCTGCACAAGCCAGGAAACAAGCAAACACACTAACATTAGACGTGTACAGTCGTGGCCAAAGAAATCCGACCCGCGAGTCAAACGTAGCGCCGCGTTTCCATTTGAATTACATCATGCATGTTCCCTACACTGATCCGAGGGCCGCGGGGGGCGCATGAGCCCTTGGCGCTGCTTTCGGCACGCGGGTTGGATTTCTTTGGCCACAACTGTAAATACAAATTTCCAACATGTACACTCTTCATATGCAAGGAAACATGATACGCACTCTGGGTCGGATTTCATCGAGCGCAACCATAGAAACCATTCAACACTGGTCGTGATCGCGTCAAAGCAGAACTGACTATACACACGAACACTGGGTGTGATCGCGTCAAAGCAGAACTGACTACTATACACACCAACACTGGTTGTGAGAAGCGTCAAAGCAGAACTGACTACACAGAAATGGCGCTCATGCATAAACATGGTTTGTTGCAGCCTTTATTGCGGGGCAACAGCTGGCAACTTGTCTCATACTTGCTAGTTTCCACCAGCTGTAGTAAGTTACATTTGTGAGTATGACCGTACACAGTTCACGACCTATCACGCAGGGCTAGGCTGCTATCACAGTGTGTATGGCTCAAGTGGACCAGGCGCACTTGCCCCGCAGGAGCAAATGGCAGGTAGACTATGCATGGATCCCATAGTCTTCACCTGCAGCAGAACAACCCCACTGGGATAGTATGGGAGAAGTGGGCACATGTTTGCAAGCACACAAGAACAGGTACTGTATAAGCAGAAAATTTCGTCGGTCAATAATTTCGTCCAACTCCAAAGAAAGGGAGTTCGTCCGGTTGTAAATTCCGTCCATGGATCATAAGAGTGCATTGAAAAGCTGGACAAATCAATATTAGTCCGGCATTTATTTTAGTCCAACAGCTCGTTGGACGAAAAAGACGAAATTAAATTCCAGACGAATATTTCTGCTTGTACAGTACCTGATGCCGGGCTACGTCCGTCACCCAGATATTGCCAGAGCCGTCGATAAAGATGCCGTGGGGCATGTAGAAGAGACCAGCACCCCAGGACGAGAGCACTGTGCCGGTGTTTGGATCCACCACGGCCACAGTGTCCTCCACGATCGGCCCAAGCTTCACGTTGAACACGTTGCGATAGTCAAACGAGCGGAAGCTCCACACTCGAGACGCGCGGTGGAACACGTAGAGGAGGCCTGAGTGTGGGTGAGTGGCCACGCCACCGACTTGTCCCAGTTGCAGATTACTGAAGTGACCTGGTTGTGAGGAGGGCCAGGCCAGCACTGTGAGCTGCGGCACACGCGCCGATGCGGATACTGGTGCTCTTGTTGGAGGGTCTGCAGCGTTTTAATAATCAACATTTAAACACACACACACACACAAATACACGAGACAGGTTTGTCTTGACACGACACACTGTATTGCGTAGTTGCCTCCACATGTAACATTGTTTTACATTTAGTGGAGTACATATAAGAAATTGAAGGCATCAGATTTACACGCAAACATAATCTCAGTCTTCGTCTGTGCCGTTGCTTTTCTGGTGTACATCGTTTTGATGATGAAGGCTTTCTGAGAGAGCTGTCATGAGTGGATTCTGACAGTAGTGTACTGGTCTCAGCAGGGATGCTGTAGTGTACTGGTCTTAGCAGGGATGCTGTAGTGTACTGGTCTTAGCAGGGATGCTGTAGTGTACTGGTCTTAGCAGGGATGCTGTAGTGTACTGGTCTTAGCAGGGATGCTGTAGTGTACTGGTCTTAGCAGGGATGCTGTAGTGTACTGGTCTTAGCAGGGATGCTGTAGTGTACTGGTCTTAGCAGGGATGCTGTAGTGTACTGGTCTTAGCAGGGATGCTGTAGTGTACTGGTCTTAGCAGGGATGCTGTAGTGTACTGGTCTTAGCAGGGATGCTGTAGTGTACTGGTCTTAGCAGGGATGCTGTAGTGTACTGGTCTTAGCAGGGATGCTGTAGTGTACTGGTCTTAGCAGGGATGCTGTAGTGTACTGGTCTTAGCAGGGATGCTGTAGTGTACTGGTCTTAGCAGGGATGCTGTAGTGTACTGGTCTTAGCAGGGATGCTGTAGTGTACTGGTCTTAG